GCTGCTCTCGCCCAAATGGAGATACAGATAAGAGGGATAGGTAAATGATGTCTTCTTCGCGGGAATGGCCTTTACAGGGGTAGTGGTACAAAGGGGATATGGGCAGCAGGTATATGGTATTAGTATTAGATATAATAAAGATCATTGCCTGATACTTTTCATGTTCTTGACGCTTGACAACTTAAACCACTACAGAAGGTACTGTTGTAACCAGTACAACCCATCGCAATCCCAAACACTGGTCAGAGATTCGGAAAACAGCTGGAGATGGGCCGCCATACCCATTGTCTGATTTTCATCCAGAACGCTGGCTTCAGTCATCTAACTCAGAAACTACGTACAATCCTCCCGAAGGAGCTTATATTCCATTCGCTGACGGCTATCGTTCTTTTCTAGGGCGGCGATTTGCCCAGGTAGAATTTTGCGTGGCTATTACTCGATTGTTTATGGAGTTGAGTGTAAAACTGGTTTCTAACTAAACCAGGAGAAGATTATACAAGCACTCTGGAGAAGGTAGGAGAACAAATGTCAAATGCTACAGTATTCGAGACGGGCTTAAAAATGAAACAGTCGGTGCTGTTAAAAATTGTCAGAAGAAACGCTTAATTCCAGAACAGTCTTTACTTTCAATAAGATTCTCAAATAATCCTTTGCAGATAAATGTTACAAAGGAATAGATGACTTGTGCAACGGCCGTGTCATTCGCTGAGTTTCTGTATTGAATGCATATGGTCAACGAGGTGGAAAAATCTTGGAAGCAATATAGAAGGCTATGCGCACTTAGCATAGGACTTATATAGGACTGGCATTGGTAAATGCCGGTACAAAATGGTAGACGAGCATGAAAGCTTTCCATACCCCATGATAAATACAATCCACATACAATTCTACCATTTTCACGCCCTCGTAAATTCGCATGCACCCCTAATTCTTCCTCTTCCACACAAACATCCCTTCATCTTTTCCTGCGAAACTTGGCATGGCAATTCTACAAATAAGCTCCCAACCATTCATTTCCTTCTCAAACCATTCTTCCATAGTGCAATCACTTAAACCCGTGTATCGATTCGCATTTTGTGTTCCAACCACCACAATTACATCCCCTTTGTAGGTACTCAAGACCCTTTTCGTGAATGTCCCAGCCGTAATCATGTACACCATTAACAACAGTTTGTTCTTACCTCCACCATTTTTCCTTAGATATTCCACTCCATCTGCCTTTTCCGTATCTGATATCCACATATTCCTATACTCACTGGCCATATTATCCACAGCGTTAACCTTTAGCTTCATCCGTCGTAGAATATATGTCCAATATCCATTCCCACTCGCCATATCAATAATTCCATCCAATTTAGACTCTTCCACAAGTTGAGATATTATATACAGTGAATCGTAGGATGGTACCACCACATCCGAATGATGGTAAAGTACAGGAAGTACAGGATGAGTCATTTTCGCTGCGGCAGGATCGGCATAATGTGCATCAGGAAGTGGACCAAGGAAAGATACCATTCGACATGTCTGGGCCCAAATATCATAATATGGATTGATATGTGCTTTCGCTTTCGGTATCTTACACGAAGGAGGAATACGGCGGGATTGGAGGTAGTTCGCAACCCATTCTCGTGGCGACCCCTTCTTTGCGTTGGAAGCAAATGCTATGAGAGCTTTGGATGTATCGGTCTTGGAGGAGAATATCGACGTATAGGCATCAATGTCTGCGAGTGGTATCTTGGAAATCAGTCAGTATCAATGTGTACATGACCAAAGAATGAAGGCCCACCTGAAGAACTTTGCCTTGATCTTGGTAATGATACTTTAATTTGCCAGTACTGACGGTTTCTTGAATCTGCGGTAATGTCATGGCGAATGATTCGGCGCGGTAAACATATTTATCGTCCTGGGACAATCCAAATGTATCAAGGACTGTTTTGGAGAAATTATCATCTATTATCCCACTCCAATTATTGAAAATCTCATCGGAAGAAGGAGAAGACATGGTGTCGAATATGAGGGTGATTGAGTTGGCGATCAAGAGTTGAAGTTCAGGTTGGTGTGGGTGGTGTTGCGAACGATGTCGAGACAAGGCAGAGAAAGCCCCATCATGACAAATTTCTCTTTGGATGGGAATCTCTTTCCTTCGTTGTATGTCATACTACGATAAATATCAAAGCAGGATGAATGAATGAATGAATGGGCGACGATCAGGTAAGTTTAAAATAATTAATCGAACAAACAATACAAATGCCAATAGCCAGACACAGTTGTCCTGGCTGACTTTCAAGACTTGGATCTTCAAGGCAATTCAGCCCCCCTACCCCACATTAGCAACTGCTCGTCAATGTTTCCAATATTATTTTACCGGGATACCGAAACCATGACAGACTTCAATTCATCCTAAAGTGTCGAAAAAGAGTCTCGCCTTCCAGACAATCGCATTTGGGATGAGTTTCATGTGACTGCTAGGTACGGTTATTTGGAGAGGAAAAGAGGAACATAGGTAGTAAGTAGTAGGTAGTAGATAATAGGAAAAGTAATGATATGTATAGAGTAGGATATCGAAGATAGTAAGTCTTGGATAATTAGATAATAGACAGTATGACAGTAATAAATAGGAAGCAAATAATAGAAATAGTAATCATATAATCGTGGAGTTTACCCCGCCATTTCAGCCTCCATTCATAAGTATCGATCAGGTAAACCCGCAGGATAAATAAGTAAATTGGAATCTTCATCGTTAATCTCTAAAATCATACCGGTACCTTCCTATACGATTCAGCCTGGAGACTTTCAAAGTGACAATTCTTGGTATGGCATTGATTTGAGTCATGGCAGAGAAAGCGTGACAGCAAATCCAGTGCTCTCCAAAGAGAAATCATAGAATAGAACCTAGGTAAGAGGTATCTCGTTGTATCTCATTGTATCCCACCAAGGTTTTACATCCCATTTCTGTTTGATGGTATGGAAATCTCCTTCCTGTATGGAGTCTAGACATTTTGAAGTCTCCACAATGTACACTGAGATCATTTTTCCCAAAGAACTTCAAGTTATCGCTCTACACAATCATTCCGCTAATCCATTTTTATAATCTGTCCTTCCCTTTACTCGGTAAATTATCTTGAGACAACTCTACAATCTCGCCTCTGGTTATAACCCTAGATTTACTCCCAACCTTTAACAATTGATCACTTATTAGCTTCATCAAATTCATCAATCGAGTGGAAGAGAAAGAAAAAACAAGCTTTCACTAATCTTCATACTGCATACCATGTGGCGTGATTTTGGTAATAAGTCACCCCACGTCAAGCCGCTAGGACTCATCTTTTGAAGCCTAACCTTTTTCCGAACTCTTGAATCTCCACTGCCTTGTGATCATGGTCTACATACAGTCTACACACATACTCTCTCTCTCTCTCTCTCTATACATTTCTATTTGAAGGAAAGTAATAATACTTCTAATCCGCACTTGTACACTCTCTCTTTCTTTCTTTCTAAAAACTTAGAAGTATTGCTTGAACTTGTATCTTCCAATCAAATCTTAAGAGGAAAAGGAAAGGGAAAGAAAAAGAAAAAGAAGAAGGAAGGAAAAGGAATCGGAAAAATGACAATCCCACTCCCCTCTCTCCGTTACACCGTTCAGTCGGTTCCAGCAAATCTACTTCAGTTCACCAACCCAACTTCAACAAACGAGAGTCAGGAACCAAAAGAGAATGTACTTTGGATAGGATGTTCTGATTCTTCAGTAACAGAAACCTATGTTCTCAACAATGTCAGCAGATCCGAGATTTTCGTCCATCGCAACTTAGGAAATCGCGTTAGTGTTGGGGATACAAGCAGCGGAAGTGCAATCGAGTGGGCCGTGGATGTCCTGAAAGTATGTTAAAGCTTAACAGATCTTAAAATCTAAATGCTGAATTCATTGGTATTAGGTACAACATATCATCATTTGCAGCCATTACGATTGCCATCTCCTTGAGGAATCAGAAAGTGATAGTAACAATTGGTATCGGTAATTCTCCCCAACATTAACAATCCTTTTCCATCACGTACAAGATTTCGTGTCACCCTTTTCTCCCGGTCTCTACATCCTCGCTTCTCGTTCATTTGACTACTCTTGACATTACGAGTATCACTAACATCCACAGCGACATTATTCAACTCCATCAAGAATCCGACGCCCTAGAACCACCAGCTCAATCACCTCAATCAAGGAATCGCCACTTCACAGAACTTTACGTTTTGTCTGAAGTGGAGTGGTTAAAACAGCAACCGAGTGTTCAACGAGCTATGAAGGAATGGGACTGTAAAGTCCATGCTTTTGTGTATGACCGGGCTCAAAATAGTTGCGTGAGATTAGTACCAGAGAGTCAACAGAAATGACTGCTTCGAATGGGAAATGCAAAATTTGATAGACATCGTAATTCCATTCAAAGCGGAAAATTATAAATTAATTATAAATCGTTACTCATAGCAAGCAGCGCATCAAACAAACATAACACTAACACCAACACCAACATTAATGATCATTTGGATATGTTGATCTCCCCCGACACAAAATCTCATCGATAACCACATGCTTCTCTCGAAGAACCACCACTTGACTTAAACTTTTGCATTATTGCACCTCTAGCATCACAGTAAAACATCATATCCGACATGATCATGAAGGTGGCTATTAATAATCAATCTTCTGCTCCCAAATTGGCGTCTCCAATACAGTATTCCGATCCCAAACAATCTTTCTCTTCTCGTTGAATCTTGCAAGCGCATCACTGATGGGGATGATATCCCTCGTGTTCGCGATCTCGTGTTTACTAATATCCATCGGATCTTCAGCAATCCACAAAGTATGTGGGCGACTGGTAAGAGCGGGGTTGACATATACGTCAGTCTTAACATTACTCTCGTAGACTGGTGCCTCAAGAAGAGCAAGAGGAGCCACGAATTCCTGAGCAAGCTCAGCTTGTCCGTATTTTGTTATGTTGAATAACTTTTCGCAGAATATTCTTCTGTTAGACGTTGTATCTTCACTGGGAGGCACATCTTCTCAAGCATCAGATTGCGCCTGCAAAACTGCGGGATTAGCAGGATCACTTTCGGGGTTGTCAAACAAAGCGGTTTGATCATAACCATCAGCAGGCTGTAGTGGGTACATGGCTAAAGGCTTGAGAGTACGACGCATCATGAAATGGTAAATGGCCGTAACGATAATCAAAACGCACATAATGGCGATTGGACCAACTATATTCTTGATTGTGAATAAACCAAGCAGGCAAGCTTCGGAGATAGACACGCCGACTGTAAGTTGTTGAAGAGCTTTTGCGTAAGAATATCCCTTCGTGTCTACGCTAAAAATGGACTACCCATAGCTTCAACGAAAATCAAATTTCCCAAAAATGAATGGTGAGGTCTGTATAAAAGGTAACACATGGTGGGGAACTATGTGGATCTGTAAATAGTTCCATGAACTTAAATTCAGATCAACAGAACAGGAAACCAGCCTTACCCTATAAATGATACCGCATGTAATACACTGAGATGTGCAAATGCATTCCTTTCTATGCCGATACCACCTCTTCATCCAATACATGCCCGATATCAAGGAGGGGGGCTCAAATCCAAACCTTCCACTGTAAGTTTGAAAGCATCATTCCTGACTTCTTAGCAAGAGTAATAGCAGAGATCAAAGTAGGTTCCAACATACCTCGAATAACTCCCACCTACATCCAAATCCAATCTGCCTCTCAAACAATCATCAAAATCGATGTCAACAAATAAGAAACCATTCTCATCATCCCAGACTGGACCAGCAAGAACGTCACCAAGAGGAGAAATGATACATGAGCCACCTCTGCATATGAAATCAGATGTATCTTTTTGGGCAGTTTCGATGGTTTCCGGTATTCCTTCTATGCTTTGAGGAAGTGCAATTTCGCATCCATCATCTGTAAGGATCGACTTCCTTCTCGACCTTAATTGGGCATGCCTATATCCATCTGCATGGTCATCTTCGATAACGCTGTCTTTATCATTTCCTGTTATCCAGCTCGGAAGATTTGATCTCTTCATGCATTGATTCGCGCTTAGTACCACGCATCTACCCTCACATGCAACTGTCCGCATCAATGGTAGCCACGTATCCCGCGCATCTGCCGTGGGGGCCAGATACAAGTTGGCGTTCTGACTATAAATAGATTGTCGTAGCAAAGGCATGTAATTTTCCCAACATATTGCGGATGCGAGTGTAAGTTTCACACCTCGAATTGTAGTCGTAACCGCTCGTAATGATGAAGGTTGCCCTTGGCCCCAGATGAGCCTCTCGCTGCCGGTCTGCGTTACCATTTACAATTAGCATTCACTACCGATGGTTCCAACCTTCGAATCGTGAAAGACGAAGGCAGATTGACATACCGGCATAACCTTTCTCCTCTTCCCAATCATTCCTAATTTTGGACAAACATACACGACACCACAGTACAAACTCCCACCACTCCTCTCAACTAATCCTGTCACAATAAATACCCCAGTTTCTCTCGCAATTCTCTCAAGCTCCTCTCTTGTTCCATCTCCACGCTTTCCATCATCTCCAACCTCAAGTTCTTTGTTCACCCATTTCTTTCCTGCACCTTCCGGCGTATCTCCTAAATCGACGGCATCTTTGTAATAATGTAGGAATTGTTCACGACCTTTGGGATCTCGAGCTCCGACTGCTGCACCAAATGTAGCTGTGCGAGGGTACCCTCCTAGATACGCTTCTGGGAATAAAATAAGATCGATGGATTTGGTCGCGGCATGTTGTGTGGTTTTAGAGAGAGCAGCAAGAGTGGCGGACGTTGTGGAGAGTGTATAAGACTGCGAAACTGCTAGACGTAATTTTTGCACCATGGTGATTGAACTTTTTGAGTTGATAAATGGAAAGAGTCTGGGATAGTAAGAGAGATCATAAGTCTTACAAGATGAGGTACAAATCCCTGGTGGGCTTTAGATCCAAAAGACGCCATAAATGACCCTTCTTGAGTGATGAAGCGGGGTTTTTGGCCTGTGCCCTGTGCTACCTGTGGCCTGTGTGCGTAAATCCCTCGGTGCATTAAATCTTGCTACAGAGTGGACTAGGTAAGATCTTACCATAATCTTATCTCTTTGTTTGAACTTTCCTTGAAGAGCATGATGTACGGTACACAGAGCAATAGCTGCCGGGTAGGGAGCATTTTCCGGAATAATCACTTGTCCTAATCCATGGAGACGTTGCTACTTGAACCCGCTTGTGTTGTCACTTTATAGGAGTATAGATCACTGGATGGTAATTTTACTGATGTGTCAAAAAAGCAGTTGGTAAATGTGGTTTTCTCAAGCATTCTGCATTCCTTGAAGTATTCTGCTCACAATCCTCTTTATTCATTCATCATCCTCGTGATGACCTCTATATCTAAACTATATCTGTCTATCTTCTATCTCATATATCCAAGCAGGAAAAATTGTTCGCTGCGCTATCCTCATCGAACCCTACACATTTCCAACAACTTAACAAACCTTCTGGATCATATTTCTCCTTTATTTCAAGCAATCTCTCATAATTCTGAGCACCCCACCAAGCTTCTTTCCAATCATTGGTCCATGGATGAGCTTCGTTAAGGTACGCACCTCCTGTCGGTGTGAAACTCTCTACTATTGTGGTCAGATTATTGACCAAACTAACTTGAGCTTGTCGTTGCTCCAAAGTCTCATTATAACTCCATGATCCACCATACGAAAGTTCCCAAATCGAATCCCGCCAGGCTGGCGTAGCAGACGTTGAGGCTGGATCCCACTGATAGAGCCATGGCGTGGTGTTGGGGATGTAGGGCGAGTACCCAAGAGAAATCAAATTTTCTATAAAATTCGTCAAATTTGATCTGCCCTCAGTACTATTGAATAAAGATGCCGGTATGAGTCGAGTTGCGATTGGGTGAAGACTTCCAACACTAGCCGCATTAGATGTCACATATTTTGTGTAGAAATCATACCAGGAGGAAAGAACCTCTACGACTACTGTCCCATTATTCTCCTTCGCAAATTTGGTAGCTGGAGCCATCGATTCAACTGCCTCGGAGAGATTGAGGAGTGGCGTAACACTTATCAGATTCGTAGCTTGATAATGCCCACCCCAGCCTTGGTTTGCCCAGGGCAAGGAATTGTTGACAATGACAGAGAACCATTCCATAACATTACTTGTGCGATTATATGAAATCATCGCCACAGCTAGCTGAATTCTTGGCTCGACACGATGGGTGGCTTCCATCACGATTCCAAAAGTTCCACCACCGCCACCTCTCAAGGCCCAGAAAAGATCCGAGTTTTCACATGCGTTAGCGACTCTGAAGACACCATCAGTGGTAACGATCTTGTATTGAATAACTCGATCGATTCCTAGCCCATAAACAGGCGAGAGGACGGAGTGTCCGCCTCCCTGGACCCAACCGCCCGCTACACCAATTGTTGTTGCATAACCTCCGATAAATGTGACATTGTGTGTCTCCGCAAACTCATAAACATCATTTGTATTTACTCCTGCAGCAGTCGTGATGGCGGCCACTGGAGTAGAATTACATCCTTCAGGTACGAAAGATGCGTCATAACTCATCCCTAATACCTTCTTCATCCAAAGGGCCAAGGATCCCTTACGACTACTACGACCAAGATAATCATGTCCACTGTTTTTTATTGACAGTCTTATGCCGGTCTCCTTGGAGAAATTAAGAGCAGCCACAACATCAGAAACCTGCTCGACCTGAACGTAATACTCTGAAACACTTCCCTGATTGCAACTGACATTTGTGAACGCAGTTGCATCACTTAGAAGCTTGTCATTGAGGACACATTGGTCGGTAACATTAGTAATACAAATTTCGCCTTGATTGTTCATGAATCCGTTATAGAACTGAGTTCGATAATCGGAAGACGTGTAATTTTGCTGGATTTCTGCGCATTGTAATGGATTAGGCGTAACTGGTTGACCTTCGTAGATTGAGAAACATGGTTGCGAGAATGGTTGCGAAGCATGTAACCGCCCGCCCAATGTTTGGTTAAGTGATGACCACATATCGTTGCCCCTTACTCCATGAATAAAGACAATGAGGAAGAATTGGTATCGGCATAATGAGGAAAGCTTTTTCGCTGGAGAAAGCCTCGAGGTCATTTCGCTACTTGTACAGGTCTCAATGATTGAAATCACCACGACCATGAAACGACAATCAAGTGGAAATGTGTAATATATATTCACTTACCAGCTTCTGTCCTCCCTCTCGCATCTTTGATGATGTACAAGTTTGTCATCATGCGGCTTTGCACGAGAAACTCTCTGTTATATGAGTAAGCACAACGGGTTGCTTGTGATTGGGCAAGCCATTTACCCAATTCAGCACAGTGGTTTTGGGCGTACGAAGTGCAACGCGGAAATCTTGGGGTATAATTTCATCCGGAGACCTTGAAGGTCCTTGTCAAAGAAAGGTTTATAAACTGGAGACAAGAGGTATAATATACAGTCTATGAGCATTGTCCCGCCGAATTGGCGGTGACCCTCAAATCTTGTACCCTTCCAGCTCTTTCTCAGTCCACTCCCACAGTTCATCCGCCAACTTCTCATCTCCTGTGTACTTATTTCCATTGCCAGAAATCCCTACAGGTGTGTAGTATTCCCCTTTCAAAACTTCGCCTTTTGCATCGCCCTTGTTTGCCACTGCAGCCCAGAGTTGATTCTTCGCACCATCAGCCATACTTGTAAAAGCCAAGTTTCTTACTAACCCCGCGATTTTACCGAAAACTCCATATTTCTCAAAAGCGGTCGCATACAAATTTGTGTTGACTACTCCCGGGTGAACAGACACAGCTGTGATACCTTTCTCGCCATATCTCTTGTTCAATCCTTTGGCGAAAAGAATGTTCGACAGCTTTGATTGTCCATATCGAGACATTGTCGTATAACTATTCATATCCGTTTTTAAGTCGTCGAATTTGATACCTCCAACAGGACCTAGTGTATGAGCCACACTACTCAATGAGACAATCCTCACATCTGCGTCCTTCTGCTCTGCTGTCTTCAACAATGTGGGAAGCAGCAATTTTGTCAGAAGAGCATGTCCGACATGATTTGTCCCAAATTGGATTTCATAGCCTTGTTCTGTAGTCGCAGCTGGAACCGCCATGATTCCCGCATTCAAAATCAATAAATCGAGGCGGGACTCTTTACTATTGAACTGTTTGGCAGATTCTTGGACTGACGGGAGGGAGGTAAGGTCGCATTGAAGAAATGTAATGGGCGCATTTGGGACTTTGGATTGTATTTCTTTGATTGCCGCTGTGGCTTTAGGTTCGGATCGTGCGGCGAGATATATGTGCGATGGATTATGTTTAGACAACTGGAGGATAGTTTCGAGGCCTAAACCAATGTTCCCTGAGAGGATTGGTTAGCATTGAGTTGAGAGTAAAGAGATTCGAGGTAAAGGGACAGGGGCAGGTACCGCCGGTAACAAGAATGACTTTGCCAGAAAGGTCAGGAATATCCTTTTCAGTATTGAAGGAGACAGCTCCTAAGCCCAAGACACTATACAACATGTTGATTCGTATATTATCTATATCAATTGAGAGTATAACAGCAGTGAAGAAAGTGAATAAAGTGCATATGGAAACATTATCTAGCAAGCTTGACGTCGAGGTAAAATAGCTCAAACAATATGGAGTAGTAATCATGCCGAGGCATAACTTTTAAGTGCTACCGCCATCCCTGTTTCCAAATAGTTTCATACCAAACCTTATGATTTAGACTTCTTAAAAGCTTTCTCAAATTATAAGTCGTACTTGTCGATCTTATTGAATGATCAGAAGTCAGAGAATTATATGTTTAGAGGTGGCTTACATCAGTTGCCCGGTTACCAAATACAGACACTCCAGCAGATACACCAACATTCTGGTCGTCCAATAACTTGTAAGAACCACGACAAACCCAGAAAAGTAGATGAAATTGACGTTTTTACAATATCGTCTCTCAATTTAAGTAAGGTTAGGAATTACCATCCCATTCAGACTTTAAAGCTAATCGTTTTTCTCTATTACTAATCGAAACGACAAGCTATGGATACAGGCAGCATGCTCATTTCAATTCAAGCTTGGCCGTCTCTAACATACTCTTCTCCATCTTCACATGATAGTCCACCATGATGTCGGCGCTGATTTTCACCGCCATACCATATAAAACAGTCATTATGTGTGCGCTCACTTGTGTAGGAACCACAGAGGCATCAATAACCCTCAATCCATGAACATCATAAACTTTTCCCTGCGGGTTCACCACCCCACCCAGTTCTCTTGCCATCATCGAGCAACTGCCGACATTATGATAGTTAGGACGGAAGTTCTGCTTGACATAGGATATCCATTCATCGAGATTGGCATCAGGTTTTAGTTTAGTGGCGCCTGGAATGACTTCTTTTTCATAAAAACGAGCCATGCTGCCTGCGTCCGAAAGATCACGCGCTAACTTTGAAGCAGCAGCTTGGCCTAAGATGTCTAACTCATTCCCAAAGTATCGTGGGTTGGTCATTACATGGCGGAGGTATGGGTCCCTGTGAAGGATGTGCACAAACCCACGAGTGAATGGGATGAGAGTCCAAAGGTCGAAGTTAATGGCGCCTTCTGTATCCATGAAGAGCTCTGAATACGCAATGTTGTCTTTGGTAAGCCAGTCGCGGTAGTTCTCGTACTGAATTATGAGGGCTGTAATATTGTTGAAGCCTCCATTATCCACGGTCTCTCTAGCCCATCGCTTCAGGTTTTTATTCAAAAGGTTATGGGCTAAGGAAGAGTATTTGCCAAAGGTCTCATTGAATGTGGCGAAGTAAATAGCTTGACCTTGTCCATAGCCAAGATCATTTATCTCGGACCGGACAGTGGTGGTTGTTTGGTCTTGTACATTTATGCCGACTGGCAGTTCGAGTACTTGACTAACATTAGCATTTTCCAGCACTTTTTTAATACCAATTCCGGAATATTCGAGAATCAATGGTGATGATAATGCTCCTGCCGCTAGAAGAACTTCATGTCTTGCATAAACTTCAAAATTGGAATGTCGGTTTGTGCCAAATTGAACGCCGTGTGCTTGAATTGCCTCGGGTTGAGAATTGAGGAGTACTTTCCCAACTACTTGACCGACCAATACTTTGAGATTAGACCGAGAGCAAGATGGGAGAAGCATTTCTCGACCGGCGTCGGATCTAGTCTGATTCCAGTTGGCATGTAGGCTGTTGGGAAACATCGACACGCCGTGTGGGTTGCCACAGCTGAAATCTCTCTTCGTCGGGATACCACTCAAAGCAACAGTATCCATGAGGGCCTTCATCTAAAAGGCTGCCGATTAGCTCTGCCATTCACCATAAAAAGGCACGCTCATCCATTTAAAACAGCCACCAAGTGTGAACTTCGAAGCTTCTGGCTTATGTTTAAAATCAACCATACAATATCTTCAAATTCTTTCCTCTTGGCAGTTGATCTCGGATGTCACAACAGCCTAATATACTTTGAAGATTTTGGTACATTTCAATCATAATTGTTACTTATGATTAATGGGACTGTGTGGAGAAGATAATCAAGAAAGCATCCGTCGGGGATTTTCAAGGAAATAATAAAAGCTTAGGACTTTCACTTACCAATGGTGAATAGTGTGCTCGAGTATTGCGAGGGCCAACATGAACAGGGCCGTGTTTTCCATGGCACTCCGAAATGAAATTGTGGCCAGCCCGAATCTCTGCATCGTTTGGTTTTCTAACATCCTCGGCACTCTTCATATACGTCGAAAAGTTATTCCAATTCCATCCTGTATTTCCGAAAACCTTCTCCCATGAATCAACTTGGATCTTGTGCGGGCGTGTCCAAGTGGCGCCATTTATAAGAGTTGATCCTCCAAGACCTCGGCCAGATCTGATCGTCTGCTGAGGAATATCTGCTGTTTGATTAAGTGTTTCGAATGCCCAATCGACTGTGCTACCAAAGATTTTCCCGTACTCATTGACATCTTCAACGAGTGGACCTTGGTCAGATTCATAAAAGCCTGCTTCAATGACTAGAACACTTATATTGGGGTTTTTCGAGAGGATTGCAGCAGCTGTTAAGCCTGTTAAGCCGCCACCAGCAACAATATAATCGAAAGTGGCGTTCTTGATCTTATAAGGATCGTCAATTATACAGGAAAGATCAGGAGGCGGTGATGCGGCAATGCCATTGAAAACGACGGCGCCTAGAAACGCAAATCTTATAATACTCATCATTGTCCAAGCCAATAATAATAATGGAGTAATCAAATTAGTTGGATAATTGGACTGTTGAATATTATTTCACTGTGGACAGCATCTGGCTAATGTATTCCGCAAGCTTCCTGAAATCTTAGCTACTTGCAAATCCAACATGCAACTAAACTATGAGAGACATATTGACTTGTCTGTTCATGGTTGTTGACTATCACTGAGTGACATCTCGTAGACACTCAATCTCCACCTTTTTAGTTATAAATTTAGATAATAGGTACTTGAAGAGTGTGAAGCAGGTTCACAGAAATCATTTGTGTAAGATATTTTTCTACTTTTGGACCGCAATCTTCAATCATTTAGAAACATTGGAGTTTTCTTTGAGGAAGGCTTAAAGTTCTTGTGCAAATGTGTATAGTTAACGAGGTATACCATGGGACATGTGGTACAGAGATACTTTCCGCTGACGACACAGTATGAATTAGTAAACTTTGTTCACTGTATATAAGTGTAATTTCATAGTGACAAGCTATTTTCAGCTCATGACTTCTCAGTTACAGAGGCATGTACTCTGCAATTTGACATTATGGGTTCCAGCTCCTCAAGTTTCAACCGCGAAACCACACACGATTTTTGTGCTGCATAACTTCAGCTCTCCAAGTCCTTCCCATGTTCTTAGTCTAATTACGTTGCGGGATGAGGGATCTCCCTAGCACCGTCTATTAAAGCTAGAAGAGCTAGAAGTATTTGAACTTAAAAGGAGGAGCGAAAAGCAATGTCCGAAACTGGTATTGGAAAAAGCTACAGGGCTGGGTAAAGGGTAGGGTGTACTCCAAATAATCCTGGATAGGATCTGTGTTACGAGGTTTGCCGTCTAGATCACGTGGAAGTGCTCTAGGCTCTCGAGGTGGTTTATAACTAGGCGTCAAGCAGGGACTTAAGTAATGACAATATGTTACGCCGAGTAACAAGAAACCCTCACGTGCAATTAATATCACGTGACTGGCTCAGTAAGGATCAGTGAGCTCAGTACTGAGCCGTATTGATCCTACTGAGTAGTTATCAGTACGAAGGTCTATATAATCTAGATGGATTCCCTTTGTATAGAGCTTCGTGCTCAAGATCAATCATTTAGTATACTCTACTATTAGTTACGAATTGCATATCATTATTGTCATTACTTAAGTCCCTGCTTGACGCCTAGTTATAAACCACCTCGAGAACCTAGAGCACTTCCACGTGATCTAGACGGCAAACCTCGTAACATATTATATTGTAAATACAAATTAATAAATAAAATTTAGTTTATTTATTGTTAAAAGGAATGACCTTACACAGGGAATAGTGGGAAGCTGATAGGGCAGATTTGAGACTATATTGGTCTTGTATATGAATCACTCATTATCTTAGTTCTACGGAAGTGCGAAGCTCTTCTACAGAGAGCTTCTCAATCTAGTCCTAATAGGACTAGTGCCTTGTGCACGTGCTACGCAGAAACCACTCACTTTAACAAATTATAATAATAATTATTTTAATTGAAGATGATCTCAAATTTAAATAATTCTAATTATATAATCATTTAATATATATTTGGGGATAGATCTATGCCCCCAGATTTTATAAATAATCATCTTATTTTACCTTTACAGGGTAGGGTAAATACCCTATAGAGATCAGATATCCCGGGTAGGGTACAATTGTCCAGCTCTGAAAACCTAATAGTGGTCAATGTATTGACGCTTCTAAACACTAAGCCACACATGATCGTTACTTAAGATACAGTTGGGTGTTAGTCTTGGGTAAAATGACAAATAATAGTGCAGTCACTCAGACATAATATCCTAGAATAATTGTAGCACCTGTTTTTAGAATTTGGCCAGGTGAAAAGTCGCGGATAGAAGACGTCAGTAGCATGGATTGGCATATAATAGACATTAGGAGGTGTCAAAAACATGAAGGTTCACCGCAAGCTGTGCTGTAAACTTTCGGTGCTGGAGAATCGGAATTTTTTGGTAACAGGAACTTCTGTAAAAGTCATTCAATCCAACATAGATCATCATGGATCTTCATCTTCTTCCAATATGGCCACTTTGGCATATAATGCTTGCCTTTGATCTATGATTCATCAATCTATTTCTGTTTCATTTGTATTCGTTCTTCCGGTAGGTGTGCACTACGAGCTTACTCGACTTGAACAGGTGGAACCATATTATGATATAAGTGGTCTTATTTGAACTCGAAGTATTCGTGGAATGAGAAGCCAATGCAGGATAGCTCTATCCTGTTTTACTTGCAAATTGGTTTATTGAAGCTGCAGTCGCACCTCAGACAAGATATAGATCTGTTGCAGCAGAGCCTAAGACCAACCTTGAGTGACCTCTTCTACACGGGAAAAATGAGAGATAATTTTGTCATCTCCTGTCTGACCTCTTGGATTCAATATTCAGCTAAGCACTATACCAGCTTGTATCCCTCTTACTGTGATAGCATGCATAGTATTTTGTCCAATTTGGTGCTATGTTCAATCATTTTTGCTGCGTTATACTTGGCTCGGTTAAACATAGATCAGCCTTATTTACCACCTTGTAGCCAATCGTGCTACTTCATGTAACAGTTGCAATGACACAATGATTCCTTTTCTTCATTTAATAGCATAGATCACAATTTTCACATCAAGTACGCCACGGCTACTTGTGTATGACTTTGTTGGAGGAGTGAAGTACATTTGGATTCCGCAGCTTGATGCACAAACTCACAGTTTTCAGAGTCAACCAGCCGAAGTCACACTAGGCTCATTACTCCTCATGCCTTGAGGGGCTTGGCTGTCGACACATGAACATCTCTCTCACGGGCTAACGATTGCGGTAATAGCTTCAATAAAACCGCATCGATACCCATCAATGTCAGATTCAGGGCCACAAAAGCCCCCATACCTTTCGGGTGGTTGCCTTAAGATGGAACATATTTTTGGGAACCATGGCTGAAATTGGGCGGGTCTTAGATGGAGCTGCTGAAGTTGATTCCTGTACTTTGATAATTAGCCGATTCCGATGTAGTTTCCACTCTCTAGCACTAACATATATCTGAGAAGGAGGAACTTCTCCAAAACAGCCATGCGTGATTTTCTCACTGTGCCAAGAAATCGATTTGAAAGCGGATTGCGACCATCTAATACCTCCGTATTTTATCAAACCATTGTTCTAGGCAAAGACAGGAACGGATTGAATTCACTTGAGATCCATGAAGGTATTGCGTTTCATTGCCAACGCTCCTTCATATACCAAGAGAGAGAATGCTTGACAGCGACGGGGATTTTCTCTTCTATTTTGAGCTGTTGCAATATTGATTTTAATTGCTCTTGCTCGTTCTTGTATTTGGATTAGGTTGAAGAAAATAGTTGGGGAAAAAGGCAATGAGGTGGGTAGGAGAAAGTATGGCCGAAGAAAATGTCTTTAAATCACTTCCATAAGCTTCTTTTGCAATGCATTGGGATTTTTGTACGTTTCTAAATTTTTGGGCATTTAAGGAGCGTCGACATTGTCTGGGAAATGTTGCGTTTCTTGGAACATATTATTGACAATGGCCGAAAAGCATGTCTTCATGGAGACCGGGTTAGATTGATATGTATTGAATGGGAATAACATTTGTAACTTGGAAGTAATGTCACCCATCTTATTCAACGAGTAGATGACAAGGACAAAATTTGATGAGCAAAGCCGAAATAAGTGATTTGAAAACTATTCATAAAGTTTAATCGTCCAGATGTGAGTGTGACATAGTCAAGGTTTGATGAATGCAAAAATGTGAATGTCCAGGTCCTATCACTAAATGGAGTTTTGCAACTTGAAAGAAACACAGAATTTGAGCAATTAATGGACTCTCTCTGTCGGCGGCTTCTTGACCAGGTTCAAACTTCGAACCCACCATTGGCGCAACCCGAGATATGTCATGATCAGCTTTGAAAGGTCCTTCCCAGGGTAAATCTGAAACATGATTATAATCACGTCACTTTGTATGTCCTCCAACACTGAAGACGGAAGGAAAGCACCTCTGTAAATTGAAACGGTACAACAAACAAGCGATGTTCATGTACCAAGTGGAAGCTCATATACCCACATTGGTCAACCATTCGGCAGAAAGTTCACAACTCTCTCACTCATCGCGGTCAAAAACAATCTCCATGTCATTCCGTCTCATCATGCCGGGTGAGAAGATCAAATACAAGAAATCAAAATTTGTACTTCTACGAGTCGATCATCAGCGTGGAATGTGGCAAATTCTTTAGTTTTTGGCCAAATCATAAGCGGGAGGGGGCGGAAGGTAGAACTAGCACGTTGAATATCTTCGAGTGCGGGGACGAAGATCTTCTACTATGGTCGTGAGCTTACAAACGCATTTTGCCCACTCGATTTGAAAGTATCTGCAAGGCTGCCAGACTCCCAACTCCCAACTAGTGTCTAATAAAAGTCATTCCAAAGATGCACTGGTACATTAAAGCCTACCATGCTACATACAACCTTGCTAACAGCGCTTAACAATAGTGGAGTGGATAACTTACACACAGGAAAAAAGTGCCATGTAGGGTTACGGAGTACAGGACTAAAGTACCCCACATCATCTCATGCATCAATCGATTACTCAGACCTTTCAACTGGTCATCCCATCTTGCGATGGACTAGGACTTCCTCGGTGCTCATCCTAGCAAGAGAGGGTGATAATGAGTATATAAATGGGGGGAAAAGAGAATGTAGACAAGTGATATTGTATGAGTAGTTAGCAGTGTGACCAGTGTGACCAGTGACTTGTGGCAGCTTCAGTAACATCCACTCTTGAAACTTCACTGACCCATGGCTAATGGGGCCAGAGATTTCTGAAGCATGAGCACGAGCAACCAATCATGTCGTATCAAATAGACACAATTTTTCCTTCGCCCAAAAGCTGCATTCAAAACGGCCTAGGAGCAATGGATATCATGAAACTCTATTCCACAGTTCCATGCTAAGTACTAAGTAGGAAATGTTGGTGGGCATCTAATCGAATAACCTTGAATGAATTGTTCGACATCAATCAAGTGCGGGGTGACAATCGCTGTCTGTCGTGGCTGTTCCCACCCAGTCAGTCATTCAGTCAGTCAGTCGATACTTCATGAGGTCTCTAGTTTCTATTTTGTTCCGTAAAGATTTCGTTTTCGATAAGGTGATGGATGATTAATGGTCTGAGCTCAAGGCGGTTATAATATCTGCTGCGTACCGTACCGTATTCCCTCCGCATGTGCTGTTCCCCACCATCAACTAAAAATCCCGATAAATCATAAATCATATTGGAGAATTTGTTCATCTTCCGCCACAACCGTCTCATCCAAGAAGTCAGCCCAGCTACAATACAACAAAGCATACGGAAGGAGTCATCGACTCGTAGATAGGTAGCTGCGAACTCTCTGGAAAACTGGTGAAAACTGGGGTAAAGCACAGACAACGACAAGACGATGAGATTTTTGCAGATGATAGATAATAATAACCCTCTCTCCATACATGAACTAGAGGAGTCTAAGAATATACAACCTGGTCCGACCAGTACTGTACCAGGTATAACAGATAAGAAATGATTCATAGATCTACGGACTATAGTGACAAGGTCTCTATGAAGCTACAGAATATTATAATATTATTATTGTTACTCGAATCAAAACCTGACATGTGGATGAACCGTTTTCAGGGTTCTAACTTCTGAATCATCGTAAAACATTCACGTCCCTTTTCTTCTTTTTAAGGCTTCAAGGGAAAATACTCAAGTCGATCCTGACGTGCGATCTCCGCCTTAGTCGCCGCCTTGTTTCTAAGAGTCAAAATCTATGCAAATCTTATTAATAGGGATGATACCGGTAGGCTTATGATAATTATTATTAAGAAAATCGGTAATGGATTTAATAAATCGCAGACGAATGAAACAGATGAGGCTGGAATCCTGGAAATCGTATGTGAATCGCGATAAACGTTTTCATACGCATCAGGCAGGAGAAGCGGTGTGTTACCGTCAAGGATGCTGACTACGACCACTTACATACTACATACAAACAAGTTCGCGGTCAGTAACGGAGGATGAAATAAAGTGAAATGAAATGATAAGCAATCGAATCTTCGGAAGGGATTATTGCCAACATTCCAAAAAAAAAAAAACTCCCCCCCCCCCCAAAAATATATGGGACGAACTTTCATATGAATCAAAAGTTGGATACCACCCACATACAGCAACTTTTGAACAGACTCCGTACTTTCATCTCGAAGATGGGATCTGAGAAGATGTAGCCATTTCTTTTAAGGAGTACGGGGCACGCAGCACGCTGCAGCACGCACGGAGGACTAGGTATACATCGGCAAAATTATGGGAATGCGAGGCCATGCAATGCATGAACAGTGCCATGCCATGAACGGGTAGAACCAACGACTAACGACCCAACCCATCCACATAAACCGATATCCGAGCTACCCCTTCTTGCCCTTCTTGCCTTTGCCTGCCCTTCCTGCCCTTCTTATCCTGTTGGACGAGATTTGGCTCACCCAATGACTGGATTTCGTCCTGCTCACAAGCTCAACTTGGTAATTGGATGTTGTGTCTTGCTTCGATGAATTAGTCGATTGGCTCCTTGGAGTGGATATCATGGAGCCGTACCGGGGAATTCTTCAAGTCAGATCCACAAATCCAATAACACGATGCAGTCAAGGTCCAAGTCAAAGCGAATAGTATCATGAATGTGTTGTTTAGTTACTTTTAGGCATGAATGACAACGAATTATTCTTTCAAAAAGGATAACTTTCAGCGGATTATCACGGGATATGCTAACCAAATTGGACCTGACACGTCTTACCTCGAACTCCACTGTCCGGCGCCACATGGTCTCTGCTTGCATGGCATGACATGTAGGAGAGTAAAAAAAATTAAAAAAACGAAAGGAATCAAAACTTCTTTCACAATTGTTTCATTTCATAATTCAATCCATCCATTCTTATCAAGATTGAATTTCGTTGATATCCATTCACCAACCCCCTTCATTTTATTATACACCTGTTCAATAACTTCACGTCTTATCCTCATGAAAATCTTTCCAACATCATGACCCTCAAGCCAAACCTGAAAGTTGACCGATAACCATCAGATTTCAACTGAAGAAGATTCGTTAAATAAAAAAAGATATCCATTATCAGGAAAACCCTTCCTCGCCACCGACAAAACCTCTTCCATTACCCCTTTTTCAACGCCTTCGGCCTTCGGCGGTCAATATGTCGTTGAACGGTAGTCGGTCGGTTCTTAACCGATGGAAGAACAAACGCACTCAATCTACCATTTCCGCACCACCTGGAACGGCTGGTGTGGCTAGACCGACCACGTCCGGCGGATTGAATTCTTGGACAGAGTACACGCCAAGCTCCGAAGAGCCATTTCAAAAGGCTGTCGAAGAAGCTGTCTTGAATGCTCTCAATAGCGATGCTTTCAGAAATGTCATTGCGTCTCAAATCGATCCCGTGACCGCTGCTCTTTCTCGGCAGCAAGAAAAGTTGAACGCTTTAAAGGCTACAACATTGAATCTTGAATCATCATTCAGTTCCTCAAACATCAAAGAAACTTTGGATCCCGCTCTAAAGCCAATCAGTCAATTGATTGATGATGTTCCAGACACCGAGGATGAAATTGAATCTCTGGTGGAAGGTCAAAAGAAGATCTTGGAGATCCTGAAGTCATTGGAGGAGCGATTGAGTGGAATCGATACGAAGTTTGAGGAGTTTGAGGAGAAAATAACGAGCCTCGATGGAGAGATTGTAAACGCAGACTTGAGATCTGCTATCCGCTTCGGAGAACTTTCCAATGAACTTCAGGACCGAAATAAGATGCTTGGGGAGAGGTTATGGTCAGTGGAAGGGGATTTGGGTAAGAAGATTGACGGTAGTCACCGTAAATTAATAGGAATGGTTGAGGACCTCGGGAAGTCCAGTCGAAATGTCATCAACAAGGTTTCTTCCATGGAATTCGACTCATCATCCTCGAACTCTAGTAAGCTCGATGAGATGTTGAATGAAAACTCCCAGATGGTTGATAGGATGGAAAGCTTGAAGAAGAGCGTAACGAAGCTGGAAGAATCCCAGAAGAATATCCAGACCACTGAGAAGGGATTGGCTCGTAACATCCAAGAGGTTCGTGATATTGTCTCTTCCCTCAACACATCATCACTGGAACATCATTCGAAGAGATTAGATGACATCGAAAGGAGCATTATCACTGTTCGAAAGGAATTGGAAGGCCAGGGACATTTGGCATCTATCGACTCGAAATTATTATCCACAAATACCTCTCGTCTTAGCAATATCATCGAGCAGGTGACCAAGATTAATGAGGTGGTCGAATCCGTCAATCAACATATTTCGGCGACTGACCAATCCATACATGTCTCTAACTCGGAGAGATTGGATAATCTTACCTCCACAACCACAACTGTGAAAGAGACTATCGATAGAGTCGAGCAACACGTGAGAACATTGAACACATCTCAATTTGATGCTCACAGAGACAAGCTCACCATGATCGCATCAATGATGACCAGTTTCGCCGAATCAATGGCCGGTATTCAAGATGGTGTCTCGAAGACAACATTAGCTCTTCTCCCTGACAATGAAGTTCCTAAATTTGATGACTTGGTCAATCGACTATCGGATATGCGAGCAGAATTAGATGCAAGACTTGAGGCTCAAAGCAACTCTCTTGAGGATATTCACAAACAGACAGTGTTGCCCATAGACACCAAGAAATTGGACGATATCGCAACTATGCTCAACAACCTCCAACCTGATACTTTGTCTACGCTCTTGGCATCTCATACTGATAAGCTCGATACTATTTCTAACGATCTATCGACTTTCCATTCCGGTACCCAATCTACCCTGAAGACCATCACAGTCAGCCTAGAGACTATCGATCAGCACGTTGAGAATGGAACAGCTACTGGACGCGAAAGCACCCAGGGCTTGCATTCACAACTCGAAAGATTTGGTACATCTCTAGACAACCAAGATGTTGTCCTGAGAGACATCAAGCAGAGCGGCGTTAATAACGAAGTCCTCGGAGCTCTCGAACATATCAAATCTTCGATGGAGCAGGACAAACGAAGCGATGAGATTCTTGGACAACTCGTGATCATGAAGGAATTCGTCGACTCCGCCAAAGCTGATAACAGAAAGAGCGAAATGATTCAGGACCTTGCAGCCTTGAAGAATGTCGTGGATTCTATTAAAGACGGAAGCAAAGATGATGAAATCATGGAAGCGATCAAGAATCTGGATACTTCTTTAGCTTCATCAAGTTCGGACTCCAAAGCAGTAGAGACCGTGCAATCGCTGTCTCAATCAATCGCAGCTGTCCATACCGACGTTCTGGAAATCAAGGATGCTAGCATCGGTAAAACATTGGCCGAAATACTCGCCATCAGAGAACATCTCAAGGACAATGCAAGCTCTCTTGCTACGGCTCATGAAGGGATCCTTTCTGTCGATACAAAAATCAAGAGCAGCGAAGAATCAATCACCACTGCTATTCAGAATCTTCAATCAGCGATTGGAACGGACATGCACGACAACAAGTCTGCTCTCATCACTTCAATCAGTGATGTGGCCACTGAACTTGAGACTGAGATGAAGAATCTCAACTCAAGATTGATGAATACCACGAGCGATTTGAGATCGGATATCAAGAACATTGATTTCGGTCCAACAAACACATCCCTCGATGCATTGAGCAGGGATGTTCAATCTACCTACAAGACATCCGTGGAGACAGCCGGAAATTTGGCCGCGCTACCGGAAGCATTTACTAACATTAGATCCCATGTATCCTCCGAGAACGTTTCAATGAACATGTCCATAGATTCTATATCAAAGTTTGTAGCATCGATTGATGAGGCAATCAAGGAGACTGGGAGAGACGTTCAAGGTAATACTGAGATGTTGGCAAACATCAAGTCAAGTGTTGCTACAAGTACCAATGACATTAGATTCCTTTTAGATAAACAGGTTCCCTTGATTCGCCAGGATATTCAGGCCCTTGATCTCAGCGAACTCGAGTCCGCTGCCGCCAAGAATCAAGCCTCGGTCGATTCTATTGAAAAGACCGTTCCTCAGATAATCAAACTCGCCAATGACCATGCATCAGCCTTGTCCCAGCTGGACTACAAGATGAAATATCTCATCTCGGGAGATATTGCAAAGATTGGAAAAGCCATTGAGGCCGTGGACCAAGCCCTATCAAAGGCCGCTCTGGAGACTATAAGTGCCGTGGAAGGCAACGCAGCGAGGCTTTCAAACATCCGTGAGACAGTTTCAGATACTTATACTACCGTGGATAAATTGACCCGTACTGACATTCCTGGTATCAGCTATTTCCTCTCGAGTCTCGAAACCTTCCAAAGAGAGTCCAATTCTCATGCCCTGGAAAAATTGCAGAACCATGACCACGCCACTGGATCCATCCGTGACTCCATTGAACATATCTCTACAAAAATAAACGACCATGCCTCGCTACTCTCAAACATCAAGAACGACTTGATTTCATCGGCTGAATTACACTCTTCAACGATCCACGCCTTATCTTCGAATATTCTCAACCTCGATTCAACAGTGGGCCAAACTACGACCGCCATTCGCGTTAATGGAGCAGCCCTCGCCCGAATCGACAAAGGTGTACTCGAAACTGGTGCACAAGTAAAATCCGTTGTTCTTGAAGGAAACAAGCGACTAGCCAGGGAACTCGATAGAGCAGTTTCACAACTCGACGAATTGGCTCATGATAACGGTACACGAATTCGTGGAATCTCGGATTACGCTTTCCCCAAGATTGAAACCGAGATGAGGGGTATCCATAACTCTCTCGAACGATTAACACACAACAACATCGATGGATTAAGACGAACGCGCGATGCTCTAGCTGTTATAGGTACCAAAATCGCCGGAACTTCTCGCAAATTCGATGATCTAGTTGATGCTGTTCATTCGAGTGATGATCTGGATAATCTATCTCATAGTAAAACCTTGGTTGGAGGCAATGGGAAGATTCCTGGCGAACACCGTATACTTGGGACAAGGAGGAGTAGGGGTGGAAGTAATGCTAGTAGTACCAAGGATGGCCCTGTTTTAAGTGATTTGAGATTGCAGGCTTTCACACAAGGGCATTCAAGTTTATCATGATGATTGTGGGGCGGTTTTGTTTTGTTTTGTCAGTGATCTCTTCCATCGACGGAAGTTTTTACTGTTTGGGTGTCATTGGGTTTTCATGATATGAAATGATTGTATGAGCAGAAGCATGAGCAAGAACATAATATTTGCATTTGGACGGTGTTGGATTGGGCGTGATTAGATTCGATACGAATTGGGATGGATATTATGATATGCGCACATGAATTGGATGATAGCTTGTTAATGATGGCCTCGAAGGTCCAGAATGTTTAGATACTAGATGCATTTTCTCTTTTTCCTTAACCATACCACTTGATCATAGCATATAAAAATTGTCTTAAGCGAGTCTCTGGTCTGAAATACTTTATTGTGAAATGGTGTGTGAAAAGGAGAAGCTTCACTTAGAAGGTAGCTTTGAATGAAAAGCCCCTTTGGTTTGTTAATGATACTTCTCCTATTGATGCAATGCAGTAGATGCATTAGACGGCGGAAATGCACATAAACATGATGAACAGACACAACATAAAGCCATAAACTGGAGACTGCGTCACGGTATAGAAAACTCAGCCTTACATCTTTGTATCGATGAGGCGTTCCGCGCTAATCTTTTTCTAACGCAAGGCTACCCCGCAAAATTAGCTACAGCCTTCTTCCTCCTCCTCCAGAGATAATCTGTTTCATCTCACCCCATGAATCATCTTCGCCCACTGTACCGGTCCACGAGCTCTTTTTCAAGATCAGGATTAAAGTCTGCAACATTGTTAAACGTCCACGGTCGCAGATTTATCATGACTATCTCCACTAACGGTGTCGAAGTTGGGCAAGCGGACAAACCCCGCTATGTAGATGTAAGACCTACATTCTCCTGCCCATACCAAGAGCATCTCTTCGGCCTTGGATGCAAATAGCTGATCAATTCATGCACAGTAGATAGGTATAAATCTCACAGATCCCGTCTACTCTGGCATCTACTACAATACACAACGTCATCCAGCCGATCTTTCCTCTGTTATATCGCGAGCTCTTACCGTGGGATGTGAGAAACTTGTTGTTACCGGATCCGATTTGGCAGAGTCACAAAAAGCTGTTCAGCTATCCAAAGAACATTGTTAGTAATTTGATTTAGAATATGAGAATGATATACGAGAAACTAGAAAAAGCTAACCGCCAACCTTTACAGCAGGAATACTCTTCGCAACGGTCGGAGTCCACCCGTGTTCTTGTCTCCAGTTCACCAAGGCGCCAAATAATCCCGAGACATATCTTCGAGAACTCGAAGAATTAGCATTGGAAGCAAAGGATACAAACCACTGCGTAGCATTTGGGGAAATTGGTCTCGATTATGATCGTCTTACACTTTGCCCGAAGGATGCACAGTTGGAATACTTTGAGAAACAACTCGACATAGCGACTCGATTACACCTTCCGCTCTTTCTGCATTCACGCGCTGCTCATGATGATTTTGTACGGATTTTAAAAGCAAGATTGGGGGAGCTGCCCAACAGAGGGGTGGTTCATAGTTTCACGGGGACGAAAGAGGAAATGGAGGAATTGGTTAGTTTAGGATTTGACATTGGAGTAAACGGGTGTTCATTAAAGACGGAAGAGAATTTGGAGGTAGTAAAGGCGATACCAATGGAGAGACTTCAGATTGAGACTGATGGGCCTTGGTGTGAGATAAGGCCAAGTCATGCGAGTTGGAAATGGTTGAAGGGTTTTGAGGAAGGGAAAGAAGGAGAAGGGATGAGCGAGGTGGAAAAGTCTATTGAAGGCGGAAAGGGTTGGAAAAGTGTGAAGAAGGAGAAGTGGGTAGAAGGGGTAATGATTAAGGGTAGAAATGAACCGTGTATGATCAGTCGGGTAGCGTGGGTCGTTGCAGGAGTTAAAGGGGTGAGTGTGAAAGAATTGAGGGAGACAGCATGGAAGAATAGTTGTAAGATGTTCGACTTGGGAGTGTGAGCGCTATGCACATGGGGCCAAGTTCATTTACATACATATTAGATGACTAGAACTTAGATTTATATTTTAAACCGGTTGAATTTTTCTGATTGGATTTTTCGTGTTGGGGTATGATGATTCTCAATGCCTCCCGCATCGGAAAATAAGAGTTCAACTAGCATTTTTGATTTGCAATTCGTGCCGCAGCGCCCTTCTGTATAGTCTCGTTTCAACAATATCATTCTTCTCATGATCTGACTAGTACAATGCCAAAATTACCATGTCGTGGCTACCATTGAACATACCGAACCTTTCAACACCTCAATGAAATAGAAGACCTCCAACTCCAGGTATCACCGCCCATTCAAACACCAAATTCCAAAACTCTCCAATATAATCAGACATACTCATCACAAACATCAATCACACACCACTTCCCTTGAATCCCCTAATCCTTCCTCTCTTCACGACTCCTAAACTAACACTTTCTTCCCCAGTCATCCATCCAGGCATCTTCTCTCCATCTACGATTCCCGCCTCAACTAATTCTCGAATTCCCGCAAATACATGATTTCCATGGAACGTTATCCTGATATCTGGCTTCCATGTATCTCTTCCCCTTTCTTCCCTTTCTGTTTCGCTTCTTTCCTCGCCATTCTCGTCCTCTAATCTATCAAGCTCCGCTTCGATGGTACTTCTGCGCCCTTTATTCTTCCCTCGCCGTCTCTCGATCGCTGATTCATTTTCAGCTTCGTGTATTATGGAGGTAAGAGAAGGGAAAGGGTCTTCGAGACGTATGTCGAGCCTTTCAATACCTTTCCCGTCATTTGACTTCGCAGAGCTTCCGAAACGGGCCATAGCCATATCCTTTCGCTTCTTTGCCAATTCTGGCGCGTCTTCTTCTCTAGGTCTCTTCATATTTCTGATTATTCCTTTCTCCTTAACGGCACTCTCTAAATATTCAGTTGGCGAATCAGCTGGTGTAGGTAATATCGGATTCAACGGGTTGTCCTTTTTATTCTCTCCAGCATAAACTCCCCACGCACCTCCTGCTGCGTTTTGTCTTCCTCCTCCCCTCTTTTCACACAATGCTTCCAAATTCTTCGTAGAAAATCCAGTACCTTCTAACTTGTATCTCTCTCTTGGTCTGCTAAACGCCTTCGGAATCCCATCCAATGTCAATTTCCTTAAACTCTTCGTGTCGGTTGCTCCGGTGGCACTCCCTGCCGTAGAATTCAATGAAACATAAATATACGGCGAGGCATCCGGGAAAGCAATGTAGAAAGTCCTGCTAGAATCGAATGCCATGCTTGGTTTTCTAGATCCCGATGAAAGCGCAAGTGATGTATTGTATGGCGAATCCAGGATATATATCCTCAGGAGTAGTAATGGTAAAGTAGCATGACGGTCGAGATTGTAATGGGCTTTGACGTCTGGTAAAACCTCCCTCTGTAAATTTTGTAAGAAAGTTGAAGGATAAAATCGTGGTATTGTCGCATCTTTCTTTTCTTCGTCCAAAACTTCATGGTCGGGAGATGAGGATGACAGCCGTACGATTTTCAAGGCGGTCCATTTCTGCGACGTAGGATGATCATATAAATATTGCATATCTGCCATAGCTAGTTGATATAATGTAATTCCGTGTCTCCAATCTCCTTCCAGAATCCGATCGAGTACATCGCGCTTGCTGCCTTTTTGTGTCGTGAAGGTGGTATAGAGTTCGCTGAGTGAATCGAGGGTAGCATGAGGTGGGTAGAGATCCTGCTCATAGTCGGATGCGGAGTCGTCAGCTTCAAGAAGATAGGGCGCAGTGTTAACTTGATTACGTTCGTCAAGCCAGTCAAGGGCGAGAGTAAGAAGAGAAGGGCGCGAGAGGCGAGAAAGAAGTTTATGAACGGAGGGGTGGGTTGAGGGGACAAGTTGAGAGGGAGGAAGCGCAGAAGTTGTAGGTATAGATAATGTGGCCATGGTTGATGGAAGTAATATGAACAAAATCAAGTGGTAAAGATTGCAGAATCAATTGGCGCCTTCATAATGAGTTTCGTCAATTTTCCGGGTATCTTGATGTTGCTATTTGGTTTTGTTCATCGCGTTCTGCATCGCGAAATTGTCGCGATCAGCTGATGCTGTAGATTCAGCACTGGACTCTAAATCCACATCTATGTTTTTCGCTCAGGTTAATCCAGTTAACTCATGCAACAGCAAAAATTCATACACAGACCAACGACTTTAAGAGATAAATGCGTGATCTAATACCTCCACCAACGGCAATGTTCACAATGCAATCATAAAATGGCCTCAATCAACGTCAGGACTGCAGCTTTTGAAGTTGTTGTCGAATTGGTAACAATGAGACTTCTAGGTAGTCCTAGAACCATCATGAGAAACACCTCACCCCTAATGGTTCCATAGCTACAAGCTGGTGAACTCTACGTCGAGTATCTCGTGAGGATAATTCACTGCTGGGCCGGCTTTGAGAACTTATATTCAAGTACTCGGGCTTAGTTATTTGGCAGGCTTGGTCTTCCAACCAGGTTGTGCGATGATCCCATGTCCAGACGGCATGGTTTCCGGGGACACCAGGAAAGACAAATAATCCTCGACAGTACGCAAAGCACTGGAAATTGGCACTCTTTCTCGTGTTGGGTGCAAGGCTATATTACAACGTTTACCATACCAATTTCTTCCTTTATAGCGCAATTGTTTCAGTGACAATGTCACGGTGATCTACTAGTCTGTGGAATCACTGATAGAAGTAGATTCTGCGAAGTTTCCCTTATATCTTTGCACTATTTGGAAATAAAAATATGCAAATGAATGATGGGAAGAAGTGTTCTTTGCCTGCTAGTAGTGGTCAGGCTCTAGGGGATATACAGCCTATCTATATCTTTTCAAATAAAGCATTTCCTTAAACGATTGTTTAATAATAGGTCTATTGATTTCCAAAAGCTTTCTATTGCTTTTCAACAAATCTTGCATTAAAATTATCAAATTATAGTATATCGATATATGAAACAAAATATTAAATACAAATCTTATATATTGTTAAAAGGAATGACCTTACACAGGGAATAGTGGGAAGCTGATAGGGCAGAACTGAGGCTATATTGGCCTTTTTTATGAACCACCCATTATCTTAGTTCTACGGAAGTGCGAAGCTCTCTGTAGGAGAGCTTCTCAATCTAGTCCTAATAGGACTAGTTGTAACAATACTGTACTGGAGGCAGCGGCTGCCTAAGGTTCGTCGGTTGGTAGTTATGGGTTAAGGCTTTATCACTGGTATTCACTTGGAAGTGAAGTCGTTACTAGATCAAGTAGAATGTAGGTAAACTAATTGATAACTAAGTTGGGCACGAAGCTCCTAAACTATGAAACTACTCTGACTATATAATGATCGATAAAGGGAGCCCCCAGGAGCTTTAGGAGCTTTGAGGGCTCCTAGGGCTCCTTATCACGTGATTCCTTTTCATCCCAAGACACTAATCCCAATGGTGAATCGTGACACTAGTGCCCTGTGCACGTGCTACGCAGTGTTACGTTGTAACATTATAACTATTATCACGTGTTATAGGATCACATGAATAGTCTTGTGAGGGAGCGAGGGAGCGAAGGAGCGAGATTCGAATCTCGCTCCCCAGCTCCATCGCTCCAATGTTGGAATACGAAGGTCTATATAATCAAGATGGATTCCCTTTGTATAGAGCTTCGTGCTCAAGATCAAGATCAATCATTTAGTATACTCTACTATTAGTTACGAATTGCATTATTGTCATTACTTTAAGTCCCTGCTTCACGTCTAGTTATAAACCACCTCGAGAGCCTAGAGCACTTCCACGTGATCTAGACGGCAAACCTCGTAACAATATACCTGAGATTATAAAACTACAATTATACCAAGCTTTTTATTAGATTTTCTACAGGGGTATTTTAGATCAATCAGATTGCTAGGATCGAGCTTCACTTGAACGAGATTTCTCATTTTCTACGATCTACATTGGGTAAACCTCACATGAGGTGAGGTTTTGGTGTCGGCAAGCCGATAATGAATGTAAACCAGAAGTCGCGTCTTAAAACTGAGCTTGAGCATCTTTCTTTAATTCAATTGAAGCGGCAAGTGTCTTCTGGGACGTCTCCAAGACAGCCTATACAAAGCATAGATCAAACACCTGCCTTCAAGTTGTTTCAGGATAGGCTTCATCAGTTTCCCCACCGTAGTGGATATGAGTGTTGACTTGGAGCTCCTTTCCCCTTGAGATATCGCGCTAGAGAAGCTGTATGTTCTTTCCACCCTTCTTTTCTTGTTCCCGTCATCCTCCACAAAACCATGCTAACGTGAAACAAATATGCATTCCAGCCTCTTCGATTACCATTTATCTATCATGCATGTGTTCTAATCCTTAACACGACGGCATCAATTCTCATTTAAACTCTACAAACCTCTTACAGGAATTGTTCTGCTTCTCGTCGTTGCAAGACCTGCAGCTTTAGTTTGGAGCTTGTTAATTGGGCGCATAACGCCCACCTTCAAAGACATGACTAGGCTATGCCTTAACTTCTGCTCAGTTTCTCTAAATCTTTTCCTATCTCGGCCTCTTAACGCATTCTCATCTTTACTCTTCGTGATTCCATTCATTGCCATCCCATTTCCTTAGTTTGTAGAGAATTCGAAAATTCCGCTTTGCTCCACTATCCAACACAAACTTTTCTCTTTTGATCATCATTCTCGATCTTCTGTATCACCATTTCTCTGTCAAATCTTAGCTTCCTTATTCGAGGAAGTATACTTTCTTCTACTTGGGCATACTAACTTCAAATGAATCAGACTTACACGGCCATGAGTTCATCCATCATGGGCCATGAAAGTGACGCAAATGCCAGTCCAGCAGACACACTTAGACAAGGTGGAATCAAAACCGAAGTCATTGATAATTCTGCGTCTACGATGAGTGAAGGACGAGATCTTTCCAGCACCGAACCAGACACAATTACTGTGACCAGAAAGGAAGAGACAGTTGGTGCCACTGTGGCTTTCTTGAATGAAGTCGAAAATATTGTGGCTTCACACACAGACATGTTCCCCGAGTTCAAAAACTGGCAAGATCAAGCTAGTATGTTTTCCTCTCATCGGTATTACAAAATTCCAGTTGATATATCAATTTTGCAGAACAGATTCTCAGTGGCGTAAAGCGTCCTCGTGTGCTTGTCGGTGTCCTTGGATATACCGGTAGCGGAAAATCTTCACTTATAAATGCCCTTATTGATGAAGAGATGGTGGTGCCGGCTAATGCAATGCGCGCCAGCACGTCCGTCGTGACTGAAATTTCATGGAATGATTCAGACGATCCTAAAAAGGCCTTCCGCGCTGAAATTGAGTTTATCAGTGACATAGAATGGAAAATGGAGATGGACATTCTATTGGGCGATCTAAAGAATTCAACGAAGGGAGAAGATCTGTCTGCCAAGTCTGGCAGTGAAGCAAGCACTGCTTCTGCGGAAATATCTGCAGTCTGGCCCGGAGTTACTCTTGCCAAACTGAAGGGAATGACATCGGAGGAGTTGTTTCAACAAATCGACGGCGTTTCCGATCATCTGGATTGCATTTTAGACATCTCCGACAGTAAAGCCAAGCCATTCTCACAACAGATCAATTCTTACATTGACTCAAACAACAAGCAAGTTTGTGCGAAAGGAATGTCTTACCGGCCTTTGGTGCGTTGCGTTCGCATCTACACGAAAGCCGAGATTTTGAGGCATGGTCTTGTACCGGTTGACCTACCTGGCCTCGGAGATTCCAATACTGGAAGGACGCAAGTGGCAGAGAAATATGCGGAAAATCTCAACTACGTATGGATCGTGGCCGATATTGTTCGTGCAATAGATGATCAAGTCGCCAAAGATTTGATGGGGAAATCTTCTCGAAGACAGTTGCTCATGGATGGCAAATACGACGATAAGTACGTTACATTCATTATGACGAAGACTGATATCATCAACACCGAAGAAGTTGTCGAATCTTTGCAGCTCCGAGAGAAGGATTTGAGGAATATTCTAGCCCGAGAAGAAAACATAATCAACGAAATCCACGATGGCCAAGAAGCACTCGGTCGAGAAACTTTTAAAGTCAAGAAGATGAGAAAGGCGTTGAAAGCACTGGAGAGGTCCAAGCCATCGAAACCCGGTAAACCTATTCTACGAAAGCGGAAGCATACTGAGGACGACAGAACAGAAGTTGACGAACAACCATTAGACTTGAGAACCACGGACAAGAAAATATCAAAAAAGAAGCTTCTAGTGAAGAATAAAGCACAAGCTGTCATATCCATGAAAATTATGGAAGATAAGCTTGCTAGACTTAAACGCACACTCAAGTTGGTCAGGAACGAGATCAAAGCTGCCTGTACGCAAGCTCGGAACAATTACACTCAAGAGCATCTCAAGATGGACTTTGAGAATGGGCTACGTGAGTTGAAATAGGATATTTCTGATGATCTCAATGACGAGCGGCCGCTTGGAAATGAGGATGACGTTGAGAGTAAGAACTTAGTATTTCGTCGTAAGTTCTGCAGTTTCCATGCTTATGGTAGTTGTTTGATACTAATACAAGTTGTCATGTAGAAGGGCTTCTTGATCAGCTACATGTTTTCTGTGTGTCCTCTAAGGGATACCAGAAACTTTCTGGACGTTTCAAGCGTGATCGAATTCCCGAAGGGTTTGTAACCGTGAATGATACTTTCATTCCAAGTCTACAAGATTATGCAGCAGCTTCCACCTTGACTGCAAGAACAAACATCACCGATGCCTTTCTGAACGAATCTAATCTTTTGAAGTTGACTATCAAATCATGGGCCAAAAATGACACTCCCAACTCTTTATCTTCTTCTCAAAAACACGCGCTTAATACTAGGTTAGGGGAACAGATAGAAACGCTCAACAAGGTATAGGCCCCTTCCCATGATGTATTCCAATGTCTAATTCTCTGTAGTCTTTTGGCCATGCTTTTGATACTGCAGTGATGCGTATCCGCGAAATCATCGAAACAAATATCTTTCCAACTTTGGAGGGTTGCATCAAAGCTTCCACAGAAAAGGCCGAGCAGGCTTGTAGGAATATCGTGGATTCAGACACGTCCTATCAAACTTGGAAAGCTATTTGCCGTAGGTTTGGCAAGTTTAGCAACAGGAAAAACGTCAAGTATGACTGGAATGGTGTCTTCTTAAAACCATTCTTGAGACATCTCGCCACACCTTGGGACCAGGTCTTTAATAATCAGATGCAGGATATTCACAAAGAGTATTCTAGGAATGTTGTCATAATTATCAACAAGTCTTCCATCGATATAAAGCCCCTTCTTCAGGATATGTCGGAGGCTTCTGCATCAAACTTGCCCATCCAATTTTTGGCCAAGATTCTCTATCTAAGCCAGAAAACCACAAGTGCTGTATCTGTGTCTCGGGAATCGACTCAAAGGCAGGCGCGGGAGATTCATCGACTGATCAACCCGCTTATTCAACAGCATCTGCAACCTGCATATCAATCTTGTAGTCGAGAATCAGGCAAGTAATGTAATTCATTGAAATATGGCATAGTTATTAACATATGTTGTTTTCCAGATATAGGAGCTCTTTATCGGATGAAAAGACTCCTCTTCGACCATATCAAAAATAGTAACGAAGTAATGTACCAGGAGTGTTCTGAGGTGCTCAAGACGGAACTGGACAAGATGATAGAAACTCTGGAGAAACTATTGGCCAAGACTCATACTGACACATCCAAATACCTCTCCAAGGAAATCGGAGACATGATTATGTTGGCTGTTTCCAAGGACGATGAAGCTAGGGAAAAGGTCAGGAATACTCTGCGTAATGATCTGAAGCTGGAGTTGAATATTTTGGAAGCTGCTTGGGTTAGGGGTGCTTCTGAGCCTACAGACAGTCTTCTATCGGTACAGGCGAAGGAAAAGCCATTTGACGAGAGCAGCGTCGATGATGACAACGCTGATAACACTGAAGATACTGATGCCAGCAACAGTAGTGATGATGCGCGGAGCATCAGTGACGATGTGGAAGACTTCTGATCTGACATTGCGATTGAATACTTGCTTCCATCTAAGGTGCCCTATGGAGGAACAATTTTGCACACTCATTTCAACTCGTATTCCATGATGTTTCAGAAATTAAAACATATATACTTACCATCGATGGCGTTGATTTTCGTTTCATTCTATCCATTCGGGAAAGGTTCGCTGGGAGATGGGAATCCCAGTTTGATCAAGGGGGGGGCCCGATGAGACATGGAGCCCAATTCGAAACATTTCTGCTTTTTATGTCTTATTTTAGCAAAAAAAATTCAAGTGTTTCTTAGCATGCAATCGAATTGAAGAAATATTTGGAGGATGTGATGGCTCAAGTTTATGAGGATTCTTTCGGCCGAAAATCGACATCACCATGACCAAGCTCGAAAATTTTAGACGCAAACACCGGCGATGAAGAGCGGTTTGTCACAATTGTACATGACGATGGGTACATCTTCTCCTTCAATGCAGAGCTAGTTCAGAGTCGACAGAATATTTTCGGCCGTTGGAACTTTTTCCGTCCGATGAGAAGATTATTATACCATCAAAGTAGTATCTACCATGCACGCACTCGGGGTACATTCCGGATGCCACGATTTGATTGGATCTGTTACTACCGATACAGGAATGCGGGACATATATCATGAGATATAATTCTGAGCATTTGTCAGACCGCAGCTAGTCACTGGTTTCTGCCTGCTGTGTGTGGCTGGTTAGGCCAAAATCTCTAGCCAAAAACTCTAGCCACAATAATGTTACCAATCAACGAAGCGGTCTGATACTCATCTAACCGAATTTAAGCCGAATGCCAAGGATCTGAATCTCTCCAGATTTGTACGGCAAATGAAAGACTCAAGAAAGAGGCTCGAGATCTCAAAGAAAACGGATCATCTATCCCAAAATGGACTCACCATGACTCCGGTTTACTACTGAGCAATGGCTGCTCAATAGGAAAAGTGTGAAAGAAAAGTAAAGAAATTGTGAATGGAAAACGAAGGGAATGGAAAGATAGCAATGATAACCAAATGTGAATCAATCTATTACTTTACCCAATCACTAATCAGATGGTCCAACATTCATAGATCTCGGGACCCGAGGTTCCCTTTTATTAATGGGTAGAAAGAGTGAATAGATACAACAGATTTAGGTAATCACGCCTTATAGAGTACAAAGAGAACAATTAGCAGACCCCCACCATAATATTCCTTCGCGGATGCAGAGGCAGATACTCTGTACAGGGAGGCAGCTACACAATATACATTCACAAGACCGTCAACTTGCACTGAATGTAAAAGTATTTCCACAACCTCAGTGGACGAACACACCTACCTACATAAACTTCTTCGGCGAGATTCTGGAGTTAACGTTCTCACCTTGCAGACGACCCTAACGGCAGTTGTTACTATAATTATTACTATTATTCCTGAACCACCCACCTTCAGTCTGCAAGTAGTTGTTGTTCGTGGATTGGATTGATGAGCAGATTTACAAAATTACCATTGACATTTGTCATCAACCACTGCAGAGTGGGGCAAAACCGTCAATCAAACAATTTGAAAGCCCCACAATCACTCCGGAATTTCATTCAACTCAACAATCGACTCGGAACCTCTCAACTTTCAATTCTTCCCCAGATCATACTAATCAACAGGCTCTTCATCATTCATCATACGTTTTCTCCTAGGAAAGCATCTACCAATCACCAATTCAATTCACGAATCTAAGAGGTAACCACTTCAGTTCAGTTTGCCTTTTCAGAATCGGGCGCAATTCGGAGAACAAAGAAGAGAATTCGAGTAGACCTTTCAACCACCTCCCACCCTTCTAAACCTTCCAATCCTTCTATCGAATGGTCCCATCTGCCACTTCCACTTCGACATCATAAAAATCAAAGGGCTGTCGAATTTCCTCAACGTCCTCGAATATCTCCTTCACGATGGCATACAATGGTCGGCGGGGTCCGAATGTGTCGGAATACATCGCGAATTTGAACGCAATCCCAACACCACAAGATTTACAAAATTCCAATCAGGAATCATTCAATGTGGACGATGATTTGGCCATGTTCACAAACGCACAATTCTTCGACTTCGATTTGAATCAAAATACCACTACAGATTTGCAGGCACCAAACTTTGATGGCGTTGGAGCACAATCTACTGCGGACAGTGTTGACATGGATTTAAAGGACTTGGATTTTGGCATTACAGGTTAGAGATCCCCCTGAGTCTTTACCGTTATGCTGTCACTTCGTTGTACTTCTGTCTATTCTGTCTTCTCTTCTCTTCTCTCCCCTCTTCATCTATCTTCGTGTTCCCTTCCCTCGATATCTTTGGTCAATGTGGCATCCCTATCTTGTGGTTGAAGGTTAGTCACATTTGTCTCGAAGCACAAGTGTGCATATCACATTAAATATTGATTTAGGACCCTTTTACATGGTTTGCTATGATCAATTCTCTAGCTGAGTAGTCTTACTGGTCAACGTGCAGCCAATACCTCAGCATGCACACATCCACGTGCTATTGCGCATAGGAAGTTGTAGCTCTTATCCTCTTGCATTACTTCTCTGCAACGTTCCTCAAAGTCTCCTAAAGTTGTCCTTTGTACCGTTTTCATTGTGTCGCTTGGTAAGCACGCACGATTACCGAGCAATGGCGACATATCACGTGGTATCGCACTTGATGACCAGGATAATGAATGGTTGCTCCACTCTTTTGTCTCTCCAGAGATCATTAGTGTGTATCGGATGGCATCCTCGTCTCTCGTACCCGTTTGCCGTCGCTTGGAGCAATCTACCTGCAGATCTAAAATATAATTCCACATTTATTCCTCTCGTCGAGCATTTCTTCTTCCAAAAAAGCAGGGAAAGCTAACATCACAATGATCCATTCAGCTGATTTCAACTTCTCTGATTTTAATACCTATCCTACCAATTTCGGTAGTCATGATGGCATGCCTCCGGTAATTCATCCAATTCAAACCAACCATCAGATCTATCAACCTCCTTCATCGGCCGGTTCTCCTACATCTGCCCTCGTTTCTCCACGGGTAGGAGAAAAGCGCAAAGCAGAGTCTGTATCTGATGGACGATCTCCTGACTTCGAGGATGCATCACGTTTGGCTGCTGAGGAAGACAAACGTCGAAGAAATACCGCCGCTTCGGCCCGCTTTCGTGTCAAGAAGAAGCAACGCGAACAAGCTCTTGAACAATCAGCAAAGGCTATGAGTGATAAAGTCGCTGCGTTAGAAGGACGTATCAATCAATTAGAGACTGAGAACAAATGGTTGAAGAATTTGATTACGGAGAAGAATGAGAGTAAAGAGGATATCGCCGCCCTATGGAAAAAGTACAACAAGGACGCCGGCGACAGGAAAGGCGCTGAACGCAAAGATGGTGTGGGCACAGAAGCTTGATTGTCTTCTAAAGATGACTTTTCTACTTCTATTTGTTCATACATTTTTGGTCTTGCGTTTTGCGTGCTTGCGTTTGCGCCCATTTGCGCTTGATTCAATTCGCGCTATAGGTTGTTATGATGGTTGGGGGGTTAATATTATTGCTTGGGATGGGTATATTTCTGGATGTGTTGGGAGAAGACGATGATGGAATGGCATGAGGTTGACGATATGAATGATGGTTGTTATGATGGATGATTGATTGGAAACGTGGATAGATTCCGGATAGTGAAATGTGTCGGCTTCATTGTCCACATAGCTACTGGCAAAGTCACAGCTAGAACTCCATTACGTATACCTTGCCTCTCAGGTAGGGTAGCTTATCTACACACAAAAAAACCAAATAAATATACACATGTACCAACGTATCTTATTCATACAATCGTGAAAACCAACCCATATGGCCTTTCTCAAATTTCCCACTCCCATTTGAGCATCTCATCATCAATACTGTGGAAGCTCTAAACTACCGAATCCAACCCACTGATGACTCTAAACCTTTCCACACTCGAATCCTCCCATTAAACGAAGAAAAACACCATAACCCCTCCAGATTGCGTGCGTGGGAATCCGAGACTACCCACCACAATACCATCCGCTCCGGCACTTTTCATCGAGCAAAAATCATACGCGTACCGGGTAGGAAATGACGTTTTGAATGGGGTTTGTGGGGGATTAGCCGGTTCGCTACTGTGGATTTACATGGGGGAAGTGGAAAAATTAGCCGATGGGCAAGGGGGGTCCGGCTAATTTTTAGCCGGTGGGAGGATGGGATTATTGGGTACCCGGTTGTGGGTTGATGGGCGGATGTGATGTGATGAGCTTATTTTGACTTCGGTGGTGGGTTGTGTGTTATTTATTCACTGTGTTGTCTATTCTTTTTTTAGATGAGGAGAGGGAGGTGGGTTTTTGGAAATGGGTGTTCCTTTTTTTTTTTTTTTTGGCGGGGGAAAACGGTGGTTAATTTGATGACTGTGATTTTTGCTTGCAATGCGATTGATATGATAGTCGGTACGGCTGGAAAGTTACTGTTGATTATCTATCGTTTTGACGCCTGAAATTTCCTATTGTTTTTTTGGCCGCTTGGGTTTTTAGTATATACAGCAGATTCTACATTCTGTTTTGGACTCTTAGTGTTTAATTACTTTGAAGGCTCGTTTGCGATTATCGATGTATTACGGGAGTACTGTGATGAGGTTAGAGCGAGGTAAGATGAGATATATAGCCTTATCTGTCGCAATTGGGGATGTTGGTCACCATGAGAGTGATATTTCCTCGAGCTCTTTAGATGCATGTGGTGGGATGAGGATGCTTCGGAGAGGAATGCGAGAGCACTATTCTATGGTCTTAGGGTATAAAGGGATATTGAAATTCTTCAGTCCATGGATGTCTGATACGTATACGTTTATCGAAGTAGAAGATGGGAATTTAGGGGAGTAGGTGGTTTTTACACTCCTTAGGCTGTACTATGTGAGACGAGGAGCGGCGGGGTGGAGAATTGAGGAGAGCTTGTTTCTGGGCCTTGGATTTATACAAATTCTTCGAGCGATGCACGGGGAAAGGAATACGGGTGCTACGGAGAATTACGGAAAAGGGAGGATGCTCTAGCGGTAGTGCATAGGTATTGCCGTGAAAGAAAAATGTAGCAGATGGGGGAAAGGAGGGAGGGAAATAATAAGGGGAATAAAGGGAGGAAAGAAGGCGAACGGAAGCGACAACAAAGCGGTCGAGCTCATCTATCCCATCAAACTACCATAGTTATGGAACGAGATATTTCCTCGACATCTTCCATACCTAGGGCTAAAGAAACATCCGCTAATGCAAAGCATGATTCCAGCACAAATGGAGTTCGGGGAGTATTACGGGCAGCACTTATTCCAAGAGCGGCCAACAACCGCAGTATCATTGTTGCCGTAATTTATCTCTGTTACGTTAATTTTTCATTTTCACTAGACTTGTTTATTTTTTCGACCGTTTTACAACTATCGAACCACTATGACATGATCACTTCAGCACGAGGCACGAGGCACATATTTTTTCACTTGCACATATTTATCAGAATGATTGATTCATTTTTTTTTAACTAACCATGAAGGAAATTTATAAATAATAAAATAAAAGCAGTATGTGATTCCTCCCGAGGTAGTACTCATCAGGAGCTTTGGATAGTCAAATAGACAGTCTCATCCATGTTTTCCTAATTGCACACTAACTGTCGTTGAAGACTGCTCTGTGCTATCTTCGGATACTCTGAAAGAAGAAGATAGCAGTGGTGGTATTTCAATAAAAGTCGACGTCAAGACTCCCCCCAGCTTACAGGCACGGTGAGATGAACCATCAGAACCAGTAGCTCTTATATCTGGCTCTCATACATTCCTAAAGATATTCCCATTTCCTTCGGCTGTGATAATGCCGAGATCCGAAGCCTTCTTCGAAGAATTCTGATAATGAAAGTGAATACAGCACAACCCCACACCTCACGAAATTTGCAAGAACTCCAAGCAATTTCCCAGCTCCGCAGACCTCAAATCTATTGAACCCAAGTTTCTCGCCCTTAATGAGCAGCTTCTCCCCAGCTGTCTAGCTCTATAGACCTCAAATCTATTGAGGTCCAATTTCCTCGCTCTCAACACGTCGAAGACTGCACTCTTGATCCTTACCAAGATAAACGCAGTTCATACAAACACCCTCCAACTCTTGCCCAGCTGGCTTCGTAGCGTCAATAACTACACAGCTCGAAAATGGCACAGAACCATCCTCCATGTGGTCAACGCAGTTCTTGCAAGCCTTTCCTTGCTCCAGCACCGTACCAGCAGCCTGTCCAGCACAGGCACGCCAGTGTTCAACCTTGGTGTCGGCGATCTCACCATTTCGCTCCACATACTCTGGTGCAGGATCTATAAGTTGAACCGTATTGAGATTGCGTAATTTCGAGTGGATAGGATCATCGAAGAATGGGTTTCGATTTCCAATGTTCACGAAGCTGCAGAATTTATTTACGAGATCTGAAGGTGTAGGTCCGGCAATTCGAGGCTTCTTTGGGGAGTTGCGAGGAACAAATGAATCACCCTCAGAATCATCGTTGGAGTCGAATTGGTCATCGCTAACATCATAATGAGAATCATGATCAGAACCAGATGCTTGGCGCGGACGCTTGCCACTGCTTGAAGTCATCCCAGCAACTTCATAAGCACCCGCCGTCATTCTGGTAGCGTTTTCTCTCCTGCGGTACTCATTCTTAATCTGCTTGTCCTGGAACTCTTGCTTTCGCTTCAGATTCTGGCCTTCATGCGTTCTTTGTGTTTCGTCAATCTTTGCATTCGTGTCCAAACCGTGAAGAGTCGCCGCCCTATACTTTTTGCCCTTCTCACGACCTAAATTGTATTCTTCGAAGAGATGTGGCTTCAAGTATTCTCTCAAGAGATCGGAACGCATTAATACATCAACACATGCCATTTTGTCTAAAAGATGCATATTGGAGACTGATTCCATGAATTGATTTGCTGGGGCCACATTGGCAAGAGAAGCGACTGCGGGGCTTAATATACTAGGAAGCGTGCGATGGAAAGGTTCTTTTGAGGTGCTTGCCCGGGAGTGACTCTGAGCTTGTGGAGTTTGCCATGGAGGAGTAGGTTGATTCCACGATGTGGACAGTGCGCTATGATGTGGTGAATGTTGAAATTGTTGTTTGGATTTCCTGCCTTGCTGTGTAAGCTGTTGTGATGTTTCTGTTGATGGAGCAGGTGCAAGAGGACGGAAGGAGGCTGGTCTCTCTGCAGGCCCTCTGCGTCTGGTGCCACCACTTGCGAAACCTAGCGGTGAAATTTGATCATCAGGCTGCTGAAAAGTATTTCGGCGTGGGCCTTGAAGATATCCGAATGTTGGGTGAGATACAACATCTGGTCGGTTGCCATGATGTTCAGAAGCAGTTTCATAGCGTCTAAGTTGGTGCTGTCCAACATGATCGGATTGTTCGGCACCTGGGCTTTGGCTCCCCTGCTGAGACTCCGAATAATTACCACCAAGTGACCGATTGGTAGCAGTAAGCTCCCGGGCTAAGATGGGAGATGTATCACTGGAGCTCCGGCCACCTGTAGCTCTTGATGTACTTTCCTTCAATGCAACGCTTTGTTGATGTATTGGTGATACGCTGGCAGAAGCACTTTGATGATGCCCGGCCTGTTCTGAAGATTCTTGTTGCTGTTGTACTCCTTGAACATCTTCGGCACCTTGAACAGGTGTATCAGAAGAAGCATTATGAGCATCATTGGATGGCTGCGGACCAGGAGCATCACTGTCAACTGCTGAGTCCATTGATTGACCATCCATTTGCCAGTTACCAAAAGTTGTCGAGTGACCATATCCAACTGGTGGAGTTGGTCCACGCATAGCATCAAAAGCTGGCTGCATGGAGAAGCCGGTGACGGCAATGGCAGTTCTTGCTGCGTATGGAAATGCTTCAGTCACCCTCCGGCTACCTGCAGATCTCATAGTAGGCGCCACTGTTGCTTGGCTATGTTGAGCTGCTAGTGTCTCATTAGAAGTATCAGATTGATATTGTGCATGTTGCAGCGTTGACTCTTGTTGCGGAGCTTCAACATCCTGGGGCCCACTAGCAAACTGAGTGGAAGAACTGCCAATATCGTGCGATGATTGCCGATCTGTAGGGATACCACTGTCACCAGCTGAATTATGGTTATCAAGAGAATATGCCAATTGAGTTCGCCTATGGAAGCGGGCCCTCGTGGAATCTAAGCCAAAGTTGTCGATGAGGTTATGTCTTGACATGTCCTGCTGTCGAGTGAGAGAATTACCATCGCCAGAAATGCGTTCGAAATTTGAGTCAATGAAGGAAGAAGAAGCCTGGCCAAGACTTAGGTGAATCCCTAAACCCATCACGTTAGGAGGCACTCCATATTCTTCTGTACCAAAACCTTGCATAGTTGGACTGATGAGGTTCGGGGAGGATGGCATCTGGGGTAGAGATGTAGGAGGAAGTATGCTCGAAAGTACGCTCGAGTTTGGTTTCCATCCTCGTGATAGGCCTTCTAAATTTTGGCTCTCTTCGATGGGCCGCTCTCCTTGATTTTCGATGGGTGTTAGAAAGGTGGCAGTCGTAAGATTGCTCGCAGTGGTGTGTAGTTGCCCTACAGGATACGGTTAGCAACCATATATTCGGGGGTTGAAGGAAGTAGAGGATAAATTGACGGATCTTAAATCTTACCGTTTGCAACATTGTTATTCGAGTTAGCATTCAGATCTGAAAGATACTGGTTGTACCAGAATGGGTTGTATTCCCTATTGGTGTTATTGTAGGACATCTTGCTGATTTTTTCTGGGCGGTAGTTGCAACTTCTAAGAGCTCTCAGTGGACGAAGAGTGTACTGTATGGGATACAGTAATCTCGAGTAGATGAGCAGCTGTGTACTTTTTCCAAGATGTGGTTGTTTCTTGAAAGTCGCTGGAAGCTGTGTGAGGGCGAAGTGGAAGTAGAGATGGAAGTGGGAATGGAAGAATTACATTTGCCTGTTCAAAGATAGTCGAGGTACAGGTTGAAGGGGTTTCGGTGTCTGTGGAAAGATTTCTTAGGAGTTCAAAGAACCCCCATCTCCCTGGCTACTATCTCGAAGGCTGATGCTTAGCGACGCTAAGCCTTTCTGGTGTATTATTTCATGAATAAACCAGTAGTTGCAAGAGGGGTATTAGGCCATTCATTCCTGAGGCTCCCTCAGACCGTGAATTATTTGCTGGAATATACTACCAAAGTATAAGTTACTTTCCTTGGCAAGATCATCTGCATAACTCAAATTGTCAAAGTTCGACATTTTTCATATAATGTGAATTGTGAGAGGTATAAGTTTTAGAAGGCTGGTACAAAAATCTGTATATTCTCTACACACTCAGGACTTCACGACAAAAGGCCAGCTTTAAATAATGTTGCAGAGCTTGACAAAATCAAAGGATTGGATATAGATATGGTGCACAAGCATACAGTATAGAGGTCAAAGATAGTGCACGGTGAGGAAATGAGTTTTCTTTGTGATGTACCCCCTTTTATCTACATAAGTACAAACTGCCTCTCCTTCTGCATGAGAGACAAACTATGCACCAATCCTACAAAATTGTCCAATAGAGCTTGGCTAATGCAGACAAACATGGTCAGCTTCTATACTTTTCCCAAGATGTTGAATTGTGTTGCAGAATGCAAAAACATCTCAAACATCTCGAAAATTCACTCAAGCTGTGTGAAGCTCATGATGGAATAAGAATGCAAGCAAGCTGTACAAAGGCAGTGGAACTCCACTTTCGTATCTTGATTTTTTTTGGAGGCTGACTGGCAATTCTACTGCAGACTCAAAACATTTATTCATTGATGCAGAAAAGATAGAACAAACACAAAGCTTTTTAGAGATGTTACGTGGATACCTGCACCTGAGAAATGAGTGCATCCATCTAGTGAAAGCAAAACAACAATATGTTTGGGGTATAAAACAAAGAATGTCACAGTGATATTGATAAGTTGTGTATCGGTTGTTGGATCTTTTTGATGACCACTCCTACTATGAGTTTAGTAGAAGAGCAACAGAGATTTAGACAGGTTAAACTTGCTGACCTAGCCAGCTAGGACTTCTCTTGCATATACTCTCCATTTCCTTTTCATCTTTACGAAGCATGGCACGGAACATTTGGAGTAAGTCTTCTCGACTCCTTTTCGCATTCTAAACCGATGCTGCTAGAAAAAAAGTGGGTATTACTTCAATCTCTAGCACCCAAACTTCAACAGCTAGATTTTTACGGACTTTTCTCACCGGTCGTAGGTATTTTCCACAATGATTACTCAACTAGCTCTGGTACAACCTGAGCCTGAGTCTCGTGACTGATGATTGAATAAGCATCAGCTACAAAGCCGCTATCGGAATGATGATAAATAGTCCTCTGCCGGAGGTCTTTATGCGATGACATGACGTTGCAGGGCTGAAAGTAATGTTACTCAGCTTATCATGCTCTCGAATTCAAGCTGAATACTGTGTTCTCAAAAGGGTGATGTTTTCACGGGACATATTGTTCCACTGTTTCAATCATATTAACCTCAGCCTCATCTTGAAAGAGGCATTTAACATCTAAGTATGTCAGTAGGTTATTCGATAGCCACATGTTCTTGTGCTCGTCATAAACACAATACTCTACAAGGCTTCCCCTGAGTATCAGTGATCATGAGTGATGCGCCTTAGAAGCCCTCTAAGTATCTTGTCCTACTTGATTCCAAGTATGTCGAATTCCAGTCCGTGGTATATATATCCATTTGATAGGTAATCGGACCGTCGCCTTACACAGGCCAAGATTATGACGAGCAGCGGGATGGTGTGATGAGTTTGATCTGACTGCTGGCAAGTGACATGGTTTCTGATTGAAAATCTTCAGCCTAAAATCGATCTGCGCTTGCCCAAGATTCCATATTTCCTATCGATAACGTTAACTATATTCGAATATTGTGTCGTTTCTGGAAATCAAGAGTGAGTGACCGAGTGAGCGAGTATGGCATTGCCTCTTGGTGGTGATAATGCGTAGTTTTGTGCGACGGTGAGTTGGGATTGAGGTGTCAGGAGTCATCAATATACTCGGATGAGATGAGACATTAATAATTGATAAGAAGACGGGAAACTGAGGAGCGATGACACGTGATCACCTGATTATGTTGTGTATCAACAAGCTGGCCAATCATCAAGCTTAGAACTAATCACAAGCGCCATCTTACGCGTTAACCGCTATCTGGCTTTTACTTTTGTCCGGGTCCATAATTATTTTGCGAATGATAACAAATTGCTTTGAGATTTGACTGACTTGTCCGGCACTAGCTAAATAAGCTCCGTTTATGACTGAGATAAAGCAGGATTTCGCAATCATGTCGAACTTCACTCCTTTGTTATTCGATGATTTATTCTCCGAGCTAGAATTCCAATATTTTGAATCACTTTCGCTTTCGTAAGAAGTTGGGACCTTTTCAACAATATCAAACGTAGGAACATCCACCCCAGCTCCCCACGCCTTTTGATGGAGCTTCCAAGCAACTAAGTCTTATCTTCGCCACTCTCTGTTTGTTTTGTGAGGTTGAGAATTTACATCATTAGGAGGACTACAAGTTAGATGAGTATGCAAACCATCATGAAATGAAGTTAGAGTCACCATATGCTAATCTAAGCGGCCTAGGATAACACTCAGACAGTATGGGCGGAAAAAACTTAGCCTGGCTTTGCTGGGTATTCATGCTTGGGATCCTACGTGACGTGAATTCTTCGATCGTTCCAAACACTGGCAATCTTGGAGCAGTAGCGAGTGAAAGCAAGACATGTAGTGATATAGGAGCGCAACTCATCAAGCGAGGTGTAGGTAACTTCCTATCAGTGGTTGATTTATTACTAATCACATGTTTCAGGGTAACGCCGCAGATGCTATGGTTGGCACTAGTCTTTGTGTTGGAGTCATTGGTAAGGCAGTTTCTGTCCTTTGATTTGGCTGCCAGTAGTAAGCTTACAAAATTTCAGGAATGTATCATAGTGGCATAGGCGGAGGTGGTTTTATGCTTGTGCGTAGCCAAGATGGAGAATTCGAAACCATAGGTCAGGTTCAAGAGAGGTCCATTTTATTTCCACTTAGCTTACACACAAATAGACTATAGAGAGACAGCTCCGGCTGCTGCATATCGAGACATGTTTAAAAGGGAACCCAGAGAAGCGGTTGTTGGTGGAAATGCCGTTGCTGTTCCAGGTGATCTTAGAGGGCTTGAATATCTTCACAAGAAATATGGGGTATGTGTATTTCCGTTTTGAGATAACTTGACTGACTTTGACCAGCAACTACCTTGGCAAGCTGTTTGCAATCCTGCTGTACATGTCGCCAGATATGGATTTCCTGGTACGTAATTTTGCCGAGATTTTGTGGACATCTCTAATTAGAACTAGTGACGGAGGATACGGTTTACTATATGAAAGCTGTTTACAATCAAGTTGGATGGAACTTCCTCCAAGATGATCCAAATTGGGCTACGGATTTCGCTCCGAACGGCACACTCCTCAAAGTGGGTGATACGATGACAAGGAAAAGATTCGCCAACACGCTGGAGAAGATTGCTAACAAGGGAGCATCGGCATTCTACGAAGGAGAAATTGCAGAGGCAACCATCGCAGCCATAAAGTCCACAAACGGAATTATGACCCTGGCCGATCTACAAAATTACGAAGTAAAAATTCGTAATCCAATCAATATCACTTATCGAGGCTATACTCTCCACTCAACTGGTACTCCTTCCGGTGGTTCCATAGCTCTGAGCATTCTCAAGACCATTGAAGGATACGACATGTACACGGCATCCGATTTACTTTTGAACACACATAGACTCGATGAATCCATGCGCTTTTCATATGCCGCGCATTCGGAGCTGGGAGACCCATCAATTTTTGCCGAGATGGATAGATTAGAAGAAAGTATCATTTCACCTGAGACAGCAAGTGCAAATAGACGGAAGATTTTAGACGATAAGACACAAGATGTGGGAAGGTATAATCCGGAAATGTGGGATATTAAGAATAATCATGGGACGTCGCATATGGTCGCTACGGATGCTTCTGGTCTTTCAATTACATCAACCTCTACCATCAATCTACTTTTCGGTTCCGCTGTCATGGTTCCTGAGACTGGTATGTTATGTTTAACGACTCCCTTGCCTCTCTTAGTTTTATAAACTTCAAAGTTCACACGTCTTCCTTCATCTCCGTTTAAAAACAGTTCGGATCTTGCTGACAATTTCACAGGGGTAATCCTCAACAACGAAATGGACGATTTCTCCATCCCTGGCGTCCCCAACTCTTTCGGTTTCGTTCCTTCCCCTATGAACTATGTTCGTCCTGGGTGAGTCTCAACTATTCCCCGTATTTAATCTTCCGCGTAAACACCAATGATTAACCACCAATTCTAGTGCTCGTCCTATGAGTTCCATCTCTCCCATCCACATCTCTCACCCCAACGGCTCCCACTTCCTCTCCATCGGCGCAGCTGGCGGATCGCGGATCCCTACCTCCACCATCCAAACCATCATCAACATAATCGACCACGGTATGTCCCTCGAAGAAGCATTAAAGCAACCTAGAATGCACGATCAACTACTACCAGAAAGAACAACCGTAGAACCAGGATATAGCGAAGAACTACAGGAAGGATTAAGGGAAAGAGGACACAAAGTTACGTGGTCAAGTGGAAGAGAGAGTGCGGTACAGGGCGTTAGAGTTTGGGGCGATTTATCGATAGATGACGGGTTAGAGACTGGAGGATGGTTGGAGGCGGTAGGAGAACCAAGACAAAAGGGAAGTGGTGGGTCTGGGTTTTGAGAGATTTAGGAGAGTTCGGATACACCTTTTGCTTGAAGGAAGAAAGGTGCGCGACGCGCGGTTAAATTGCATAATTCCCTTCACGGCTAACGATGTATTGAGCTTATTATTATGAAGCTCATGGGGATTAGAACGAAGATCTAGAATACACGGGGACGCGGATAGAATATTGGGTTGGACATTTGGGGAGAATATAGAATTGATAGACAGGTCAGGGCAGGGCACTTCTCTAGACTTTTCTAGAAAGATGGGCGGCATGGCATCGATGCTGCCAGACTTGCGATTTAATAGAATAGCACATTCAATGAATTATTCCACATCCTCAAGGACCTAGTCGTCGATAACTGTTCAAACCATATCTACAGTACTTGCAATGGTAGTAGACCGCCTGCCTTACAATGTGACAACTCTTATGTATTGGATATTTGCTATGTATTTGCATATGTATCTACCCACTCGCATCATCGACGCATCCGCCTATATAAATCAGATTTAATATACACCCTTTATTGCTTTCTTCTGATGCCTTCCCATTTCCTCCTCAGCGCCACTAGCTGTTCCATACCCACAATCCACTTCTTCGCAAACTCGGCTTCTGTAAACCTTTGCGCTGACTTTCTCGCCCTCAACCTCATCGCTATTTTATCCTCGCGTGGAAGGGACAATGCGCTCTCGAAACCTTCGGCAAATTGTTCCACCGTTGATGCATGGAAGCCTGTGTTCAAGGATTAGTTTCGCTATAAACAAGCGAGGTGGAAAGGGGTAAGAAGAAAGGCAAACAACCTGTAGGCAAACCATCAATTTTGGTAACAATATCTCTCTTTGGACCACCGCTATCATGAACAACACTGATTAATCCTGCTGCTTGATACTCCACAACTCCAATTCCAAAATGCTCATTCCACATTCCGTTAACCCCAACGCTAGCTTTACCTAACCACTTCAAAATATCCGGCCAAGGCGCATCCAAGTGAAATTCAACATCATCCTTAATCTGTAATTCATTTGCTAACAACCGTAATTGATATACACGTTTTGAATCAGAGTCGTCGCGAACGCTGCCAATGAGAATAAGTTTTGAGCCTTCGGCTGCGCGAGATTTGGTAGCTTTGAAGGCGGCAAAGGCGCTTAAAATTAGTTGATGGTTCTTTTCAGGACGGAATTGAGCGATATAAAGAAGATCTGGTAGACGTCTCGATTCTGATTCCGCGTCTACTGTAATCTTCTCCTCGAGCTCTTCGACGGCAACCGGAGGAAAGACTGCTGTTGCGGTAGGCTTCTTTAGGTCGCGACGCCATTCTCCCCATAGCGATGTGATGTGATCGAGTGTCCAATTTGAGTTTGTGAGAACTACATCTATAGATGCTCCGACCCAGGTGTAAAATTGCGCAAATATGTTCCAATAAAGCTTCTTTGCCTCTCCTCTCAGTCCCTTCCCTTTTCCAGCATTCACTCCTTCCTTTCCGGTGGCGGATGTAGGATCCAGGGATCCCAGCATATCTGTCGAGATTGTAGGATAATGTACGTATGCTCCAGTAGGTACTTCGGAAAACAAAATCTTGCTAAATCCAAGTGCAAATGCGTAACCCATTGTATCCACAAATATGTCCGGCACAACTAGAGAGAACGCATCCCATGCAAGTATAACGGAACCAATCGATTGTCCTAGAAGAGTGAAATGAGGCCAAGTCGAAGCCAAAACCCAATGTCTGGTTGTGAGATAAAGGAAGGTAATCGTTGGTGGATGGAGTTGAATGTTGAAACGATCCTGTTTATCGTAATTAGCTGGCACATTCGATGAGAATGGTATTCTGTTTGTACCTTTACTCTAGCAATAATCTGCGACTTATCCACATCATGATCTCCAGTGTAGACGATGCATTTCGCATTGGGCCATCTTTTTTGAGTTGCTAGAATTGCAGCCCACAGAACACGTTCACCACCTCCTCCAGCATTACTAAATTAATGTTAGCCAATGAAGCCAAAACAAATTCAAGCAAGGTCTCTGGGTACCAAAAAGGGTGGAAGAATCCAACAATCCCATCCCATTCCTTATCCCCAATCCCTCCAGTTTTGGTCACATCAGATTCCACATTCTCCCAATCATCACTATCTCTCCTCTTTTCTCTACTTTCCCTATACTCCTTCTCATCAAGCGCTACTCTTTCCAAAACTTGAGCTTTCCTACCTGCGGTCTTTTGCCTCAAATAAAACCCCACGATGCGTCCGACATATCCCACAAGCTTGGGGACTCCTAAAAGAACAATCAAGGGAGTCGCACCAAGAATCAAGGCTATGAAAATTGTCGATTTGGTATCCAGTCCAAATGTCCACATATCACTACCATCCGGAGCTTTGCATGTTTCCGCCATAACTTTTAGAAAGATTTGGGACAAAAGTGAGGGGGAGCGACGTTTGTCTCTAGACTTTCCAGGGTTACTGTGTCACTTCTGGCTGTGACGTGCAGGCGGTGGAGTGTGCGTCCGCTTGTACCGACATGCGGGCATTTTTTCAAGGATGACATGTGAACGGGAACTTTCTGCTCCGAGAAAATCAAATGTTCAAATCATGTTGGAATATTGAGAAATCGATCGATGCGTGAGCATTAATTGTCTCTTCTCAGTAAGGCATCTGATCAATTGAGTTACGATGCCTACTTTATCTCGGCCAAGTCGCACGTTAATGCGCCCTTCCGCCAGCTCAAAACTTCCAAAAGTCTTCTTACAACTGCCTCCCAGCTTTCGATCATTCCATGCCTCACCACAACCTCGGTCTCTCGATTCCGTTTTAATAGCTACGCATGGAGTTCTAGAAGGATTGCACTCTTTTACTGGCCTACCATGGGCTTATACTTTACCTCTCACTGCTTTAGCTATCCGGACCATCCTCATCCTCCCCATCGGTATTAACTCACGCCGAGCTGCGCAGAAACAACTGGACCTAATGCCCCTCATGAACGCATGGCAGCATCAATTCAGAAAACAATCAATACAAGAAGTTGGTCACTTGGGGCCCGATGCGGCGAATCAGTTTGTTAAAGATAAAATGAAAAAGAAGAAGAAGGAACTTTATTCTAGATACAGTTGTGGTACTTGGAAACACTACCTGCCCTTTGTGCAATTACCTATTTGGATGGTCGCTGTAGAGACGATTCGAAAAATGTGCGGCGCACACGATGGATTATTGAAATGGATCGAATCGATGTTCATATCGACTAATGCAAATGAGTCTGTAGCTTCCACGGACCTGGACTTGGGTTCTCTACTATTAGAACCATCCTTCGCGACAGAAGGAGCATTGTGGTTTCCCAATCTTCTCATTCCAGATCCAGTGTTGATACTTCCTTTCATGCTCTCCGGATCTATCCTACTGAATCTCAGTGGCCAGGGAAGACCTAAAACTGTATTCATGAGAAGATTAATGAATTCGTTGAAGGTCGTGGCTCTTGCGATTATTCCACTTACATTGCAGATGCCGAGCGCAATGTTGGTATATTGGACATCTTCCTCCCTGCTGGCTTATGGACAAGCCAAGATATTGGACATTTTCATGCCGATTAGAAAACCTGTAGCACCATGTAAAGGGGGACAACCTGTTAGATATGCAGGTACCAGGGAAAGTTGAAGATAGAGTACGATTGCTTCGAACAATGAGCAGTAATGGTCTAGATGATTGATATACCCTGTGACTCACAGTGTTGAGGAATGAATAATGATTTCTTGTCATACTGATACCGTAAGGTCAAGTTGAATTAATTGGATTCCCTCATGTAACAAACTTCTCAGCCGTTTGGTCCAAAGTTCCAAGAATGATAAATGGAAAAGGAATTAGTCCGTATACGTACATACTACTGTATTGCTCACCCTTGTTCTGCAAACACGCTTGTGCACGCTAGATTACCAATTAACATGGATTTTCAACGCGTCCTGGCGGAGTGTGAAAAGTCGCGTAAAGTGTTCCCTCTTAAAAACATTCGGATCCATTCTCATTCTCATAATCTCTTCTTCGTTTTTTCCTCTCAAGAACAATTTCCTCCAACATTTCAATCTACAATATATTCCCTCCTTTACATTCAAAGGGAATTGATTGAGCGGTTGACTGCGAACAAGTCGATTAATTATTTCTAATTTAAGAGTGGTTTGCTTTCCACTTATCTTTTCCTTCACTGCCTGCCTTCATCAACCCCTCCAAATTCAGGACGAATTCACCACAATTTACTGCCGCCACCATGTATGTCTATAAGAGAGGTATGTATCAATCTAAACTGCTCATTTTTCCCTGTACTCATCATATCTAGATGGGCGTAAGGAACGCGTTCAATTCGATAAGATCACAGCTCGTGTATCAAGATTGTGTTATGCTCTCGATCCTGACCACATTGATGCCGCTGCCATTACTCAAAAAGTCATCTCTGGTGTCTATCAAGGTGTAACAACCATTGAACTTGACAACCTCGTAAGTTAACCTTTAGAAGCGCGCTGAAACTGCTCCTCTTTCCAGTACAGTCTGCTAACTTTTTCCAAAGGCAGCAGAGACCGCTGCATACATGACAGTCACCCATCCTGATTATGCCATTCTAGCTGCTCGTATTGCAGTATCGAACCTCCACAAACAAACCAAGAAACAATTCTCCCACGTCATCCGTGATTTATACCAATATACAAACCCAAAAAATGGCAAAGCATCTCCTATGATTAGTAAGGAAACTTTCGAATGCGTCATGAGACATGAGGAAGAACTCAACTCTGCTATTGTCTATGACCGGGATTTCAACTACCAATACTTCGGATTCAAGACCCTTGAGCGATCATATCTTTTACGTCTTGATGGCAAAGTTGCGGAACGTCCTCAACAAATGATCATGCGTGTTGCTGTTGGTATTCACGGTGATGATATCGAAAGTGCTATCGAAACATACAACTTGATGTCAAACAAGTACTTTACACATGCTTCCCCAACACTCTTTTCTGCGGGTACTCCACAAGCGCAACTTTCCTCATGCTTTCTCATCGACATGAAGGAAGACAGTATTGATGGTATCTATGATACTTTGAAGATTTGTGCCATGATCTCAAAGAATGCTGGTGGTATTGGTCTCAACATTCACAGAATTCGTGCTACAGGTGCATACATCGCCGGTACCAATGGAAATTCCAATGGTATTGTTCCTATGCTTCGAGTTTTCAACAACACTGCCAGATATGTTGATCAAGGTGGTAACAAACGCCCCGGTGCTTTTGCTGTTTACCTTGAGCCATGGCATGCCGATGTTTTCGAATTCCTTGATCTACGCAAGAACCATGGTAAGGAAGAAGTTCGTGCACGCGATCTCTTCTATGCCCTGTGGATTCCTGATTTGTTCATGAAGCGTGTCGAAAAGAATGGAGAATGGACTCTCATGTGCCCCAATGAATGTCCTGGTTTGGCAGATGTTTATGGCGAGGAATTCGAGGCTCTCTACGAGAGTTACGAAAAGGCAGGAAAGGGTCGCAAGACTATCAAGGCTCAAAAGCTTTGGTACTCTATTCTTGAGGCTCAAACCGAGACCGGAAATCCTTTCATGCTTTACAAAGATGCATGCAACAAGAAGAGCAACCAAAAGAACCTTGGTACTATTCGCAGCTCCAACTTGTGCACAGAGATCGTCGAGTACTCTGCACCAGATGAGGTCGCTTGCTGTAATTTGGCTTCAATTGCTCTACCAACTTTCGTAAACATGAATGAGGGAACCTATGATTTCCAAAAGCTTCACGAGGTTGTCCAAGTTGTCGTTAGAAACTTGAACAAGATCATTGATATCAACTATTATCCGGTACAAGAAGCTAGAAGAAGCAATTTCCGTCATCGACCTATCGCTGTTGGTGTTCAAGGTCTTGCTGATGCTTTCTTGGCTCTTCGTCTTCCATTTGACTCGCCAGAAGCCAAACACCTTAACATTCAGATTTTCGAGACCATCTACCACGCTGCCTTGACCTCATCTGTTGAGATTGCAAAGGAACTTGGCCCATACGAAACTTATCAAGGCTCACCAGTCTCCAAGGGTGAACTCCAATATGACATGTGGGGCGTCACTCCTTCTGATTTGTGGGATTGGGACTCTTTGAAGCAATCTATCAAGCAACACGGAATTCGCAACTCTCTTCTTGTTGCACCCATGCCTACTGCTAGTACTTCACAAATCCTTGGTTTCAACGAATGTTTCGAACCATACACTTCAAACATCTACTCACGTCGTGTTCTGGCTGGAGAATTCCAAGTTGTTAACCCATGGCTCCTCAAGGACCTTGTTGATATGGGTCTTTGGTCTGACAACATGAAGAACCGTATCATTGCTGATGGTGGATCCATTCAAAACATCCCTAACATTCCAGCTGACATCAAGGCCCTTTACAAGACTGTTTGGGAAATTTCTCAACGAACAATTGTTCAAATGGCTGCTGATCGTGGGGCATTTATTGATCAATCTCAATCAATGAACATTCACATGAAGGATCCTACAATGGGCAAGATTACATCTATGCATTTTGCTGGATGGAAATTAGGTTTGAAGACGGGAATGTACTATTTACGTACTATGGCTGCCTCCGCACCTATTCAATTCACCGTTGATCAAGAAGCTCTACTCGTAGCTGATACCAATGTCGCTCGAGAACGTACTACGAAGAAGCGAACTCTACCATCTTCTGGTTATGTTTCAAGTGCCTCTTCTGTCGGTGGTGGTGGTCCAAAGCCTATGTATGCTGGTAAATCATCGACATCATCTCTTAGTAGTGCACCAAAGGATGTACCAACACCTAGCATTACACCCCCTCCTGCACCAACTAAGGAGACACACACACCAATTGCTAAGACTCCTTTCAAAGCTGATGTTGAGGAAGGTGATAGTCCTAAGGCACTCGCTACCGATCCTACCGGTGCAGTTCCTAAGGATGAAGAATTACTTGAGTCAAGTGTTGAGAAGAAGAACCAAGATGAGGATGAAGGCAAGGATAGTACTGACCGAGAGTATGATATTTATGCCGATGCCAAGTTGCAATGTAAGTTATGTCTGTGTATTGCATCACCATACGTTTACTAATAGTTATACAGGTAGCATTGATAACAAAGAGGAGTGTATGATGTGCAGTGGATAGAATAGATGAATAGCTCACGCTTTAATGCTTTTTGGGTTTTGGGTTAAATAAGGCGTTCATTTATTGATTGATTGGCATTTTTTATGGAAATGGATAGGGATGGTTGGACGGATGAATGAATGGATAAATAATATGATTATTATGTAGGTATGGAATTGATGTGGTATGAATGGTTAACTGCAAAAGGGAAAGAGCTCAAGTCTTGAGGAATAAATGCAATTGTGGGGGGTTACTTCGTACTTTAGTCTAGATAGTGTATTCCCAAAAGTGTTTTATGAAATATTCTTGTACACTCCTTGTAGTCTTTTGTGATATTATCGACGCGATTTCGTCTTTACATTTGGGATATCCATCTAAGAATAGGTATGTATAAATCTCAAGATACTGAAGATACATTTATTGTCATCTATAATCCATCCTACACGGAGTAATACCCCTCACTCCTCTCCCCTCACTCCTCTCCTTCCACCCCACCCCACCTCCCCGCGAATCACAATTGCAAGTTTTAGTTTTCCTCCCTCTATTACATAACATTGACAAAACTCCCAATAAACACGTAACACAAAACATCATACCCATACCCATCCTAAGTAACTTTACATAGATAGGACATCTATAGTCTATCAGATTGTCTGATTCTATGCTCGAAAGAAATATGAAGCTAGAGATCCATTGTCTCGTCTTGAGATGTGGACCAGAGAACATGCATAGATGAGTATGATAAAACACGGGGATTGAAAAGAATTGTGTATAGAGTGACTGTGTCTTTCCTCCTACTTACATCACAAGTCACATCAAAATCATACTATACAATATTTAAAGACACTCAACTAGTATTAACCATCATTTTTTTCTACCTAGGTATTATTACAGTTCATAATCCGTACCATCGATCATGTTTATTTTGCATAACGAGTACCATTTGTCTGTTCATCCCATCCTCATTCCCATGTCCATGTCCATTCATGATCCTACCACCATTAAACCATCCATTAACATCCACCAATTACCCCCAAATAGTTACTACCATGTCTATGGCGTCATGTGCATAATATCATATGTATGACCTGAAAAAATCCCATCCATACCTATCATCAAATGCATCCATCCTTCGTGAAAGTCGTCAAAAGTTAAAGAAAGAAATTGTAAAAAGTATGGTCAAGAATTGAAAAAGAGAAAAGATGGGTATCGTTGCAAGTTCAACCACTCAACTTCCATTACATCCACCTTCAAAAAACCTTTTTCCATATCGAAAAGATTGGAAAGAGATCATGTTGAAGTTGTTTACAAAAGAAGAGCAGCAAGACCAGCAGCGGCCAACAAGCCAGTTGCACCGGTTGGGAGAGCTGCCATACCGGATGAGGTAGAGGAGGTTGCAGCGCTGCCAGCGGCAGAAGTTGCGGAAGAAGCTCTGCTGGCAGCAGATGAAGACCTGCTTGCACCACTTGAAGTTGCGGCGGATGCGACAGAGGAAGCAGAAGATTCGACGGAAGAAATAGCGGCAGATGCGCTTGAGGAGATTTCAGAGGCGGAAGAAGCAGCAGCAGAAGATGCGCTCGCAGCAACAGAGGAGGCACTGGAAGCAGCTCCACCACCGAAGATGGTAGTAGATCCTACAGTAGTCTCAAAAGTGGAAGATCCACTGGTGACAGTTGAAACAATTTCAGATGTGGTGATAGCGGATGATCCATCAGTTGGGCTTGGAGTGCTGTAGATGGTGGAAGATCCAACGGTAGTTTCAAAGGTAGATCCATCACTGGTAGCGGTAGAGACAACTGCTTCGGTAGAGATTGGAGTAGAGGATACAATGCCAACACCTCCAGAGCCGTAAATTGTAGTGGAGCCAACGGTACTTGTGAGTGTCTCAGAACCAGAGGTGATGGTTGCGAGGAGAGCGGAAGTTGTGATGGCAGAAGAACTGGCAGCAGCCTATTGAATTAAGTCAGTGAATTTTCTTTTCTATTCACATATGGTGACATAATCGCAATCCTCGCAATCTATGAATTGCATGCGTATTTTCTTTGTAGTGGGAAATACTCAGGGAATGAATAAACCACTTGAGAAGCCGCAAATAGAAATTGACGTCATGCCGTAGAATTAAGGAATAAATAAATGAAGAAGAAAAAACTTACAGAAGAACCAGCTGCACCACTGCTAGGAGCGGAAGAAGAACCGACGGTAGAGGTAGCTAAAGTAGTAGCTGAGCCGGCGGAGCCAGAGGCAGTGGCAGATGCAGATGCAGCTTTAAACTGTTAGCAATAGATCAAATTGAGGTTGGCGATGGTGAACATACATGCGCAGTAGAGTAGACCATAGGAGATGACCGAGGCGGCGACATCGGCACCACAAGCCTCATTGGAGCAGTCACGGATACCAAAGGCAAAGTCTGGTTTGGTGCAGAGACAAGCAGCATCAGGAGAGCTGCAGCCAAGAGCTGGAGCCAAGGAGAGCATGTTGTTGATACAGGTTTGCTGTTGAGAAAAAGTGATTAGTCATTGAAATATTGAATCACATCACCATCAAGTTTATACAATTTGTTTGTATAGTTAATGATTGCGATGATGTGAACTCGATGTGGATTCATAAGAAAGAGTCAAATACTTACACCACATGATGGAAGGTCGGAGATGGATTGTTGAGCGACAGAAGCAGCAGTGAAAGCGCTGATGGCGAGGATAACTGAGGACTTCATGTTGATTATTTTGAGATTTGAAGAAGTATACTTCCTAAATTATTTTGATAGATTGAGAGAATTGATCTTTTGAAAAGATTTGATGGTTGAGATGTTGATATTAAAAGGTTGGAGAATTAATTGATTATCTTTGTTTTGAAGATTGAGATGGATGGTTGATGAAGGTGGATATGGAAGATGGATGTGGTTGAGATTGAAGACTTTTCTTTGTTATGGGAAGAGAAATTAAGTCGAAGACAAGTTGGGGTGGAGGTGAACCTTAATATACCTAGGTAGTAATTAGCAAACGGGGAAAGACCATTTGAGAAGTGAAGTCAGAGTGAAATAAAGTGAAGCTTGATGGGATACCTACCTAGTATGAGTGAAGCTTGATTTTTTCTTGCTTGGCCTAGAAAAAAATACCACTAAGAGTAGCTTGGACGGGAAAGAGTGACGAGGGGGAGGGGAAAATCCATGATGAGCAGGGAAGCTAAGGTAAGGTACCCAATTTACTATCAAAAATCCAAAATCCAAAATCAAAAGCTATCAAATTTACCCACGCATCCAGTATTTTTATTATCTACCATCTGGGCACTGTATTAGATGCATCTTTATAGCGTTTTACACTAATTGAATAATTCACAGTTGAATTAATTTGAATTAATGGAGATGATTATTATATTCCCATCTAATTGTACTTGCATTCATCTCGAAAACAGTTTCTTTCGCATTGAATAGATGAGAATCATGAGATGGATGTGTACACTGCACAGGTATAGAGTAGATAGATAAATGACCAGAGGCGCTTTGAATATCAAACTAATATCCAATCGCAGTTGTACAACCACATCTAATTTCAATCATATTAACCAAAATGATTTCAATATTTAATGGCTTGGTATCTCCTCCTTTGTGCTTCTCTCATGTACAAACAATTAAACTCATACACACTCGATTGATTTGTTACCTTGATGGGATTAAGTCGATGCATTTCTTAATTTGAATAGGTATCTAAACATCTGAATATCTGAACATCCATATGGCAATCCCAACAAGTAGCTTCGTTTGCTAACATGTCCGTCCATGTTGGCCATCTCTCTTTTCCCAAAAAGCTTGGAAAGGCTTCACCGATTTGTGACTTTTCAGCTGTACATCATTTGTTCTGATTGGACTAGTTGATGTGTCTTTACTTCATTCATCATAGGTAACCAGTAATGTAATACTGTTTCAACAGAAGTGGAGGGTGCCCGCCACGAATTCGATAGAAAGATAGATGGCTGGGAAAAAAAGGTTACAGTAATTCTGGATTTCCTGAGATGTTGTCCAACTTTCCCTCGCTTGCAGATATTGGGTGCATGCTAAGTTACATAGGCATGGATGGTTGACGAAGTACACCTCAACCAAGAAATCAATCCATTGTTGTTCTCCACAGTTGCTGCTCATTTGACAGGGAAGTACATACAAGGTTTTCTATGCAAGTGAAGTTGAAAAGAACCTTTTATTTTTTGGGTGGTGTGTTTATCTACTTCTGACATCACGGACTTGTGGCTGATATTGGTGAATCGTGATACTGCACTGTGCATAGACATATTAAAATATTAAACAATAATCAAAGGGTTCTCTTAACGCCCCTTCTACTCTGTAGGTTCTAACATATGCCTCTCCCCAGATCTCCCATTTTAATCTCGTAAACCTTCTCGATCTCCGACCCTTATTCTCAAATCTTTCATATCCTACAAGGGTTGCTTTACAGATTTTCTCTTTCTATCCGCATACCTACTATCTACCTAGTACGACATACACACATACACACATACTCCGTACAGAATACAAAACATCGTGACTAACACAACACCATCAAGATCAGGTTTCCTATGCTTCGTTGGCAAATAAAAAGTGGAACATATGACATTTCACTCGATTTCTCTCTTTCATCATTCTGTTAACTGGTAAAAAAGATCAGGTTGGGTTCGTTGACCATTTCGAAAAACAAACCCAATTGTTTTCAAAGTCTCTTTATGATTGTGACGTCTATCTACATTGAAGGCCTCAAGCAAGATCTTCTATCCAAAATTCGATTTTGTCATTATCCAAGCTTCACTACCCACTTAAAAGTCTTAATCCAGGTCCCAGGGTCCACAGAGAGGCTGGGACGATATGCACTTCCTATCTAATAGACTAACTAGACGATGTCGTCTACTGGACTAAATCAAGGAAGGTTACGGCGACTCAACATTAGACCAATACCATTGGTTCTGACAAACAAATAACATAAGTTCCCCAGGAAACCAAGGATAAATCCTTGCACATTGAACAAAATGGTTCTGATGTCCTTGTTGAGCTGAATACCAAGATGTTGATGGATTTTTGATGGAAGCTTTTAAGAGCTTCTATCGATGCAAGTAAGATTGGAATCATTTCGAGTGTTCGGCGAGGGTAGCGAAGGGGTTGATTCATGATTACTGATATGCAAAATATATCTAGATTCTGTATGATGAGGGATGAAGCAAAAGTGTGTCTTCATCATATCGTCCGCAATCTCATTTCCCCTCAAATGTCAACCTCCTTCATTTCATCAAACCTAATCGCATCACACAACCTCTCGGGCCTCCGTTTTATCACGTCGAACCATGAAATCTATCCAACTATCACAAAAGTTCAACGCTATTGAATAGTCCTTTACTGGATAAAATTCCTAGCTTCTTCACAGAGTAGAGCCTTCGATAAGTTTGATTATCTCTCCCACTCTTCGTGCACTGTGGCCGGTAATTAAAAACTTTATCAAAGCTCTTCAATCATTCAGGTCAACAAGGGTCAGCTATTTGGCACTTCTCGATGGTGTAAAGCTTATTCTATTTCTCTTCTTCCTGCCCCTCCAGTTTCTCAATCTTTTCCCTTGATATTCACATTTTTCCGAATGAGTACAGCCTCATTTAATCCACTGAAATTTTATTTTGAATCCATCCATTATTGCACCTTACACCTTGTCACCTTGAACCTAGATAACGGTAACGCCGCGGCAAGTAACCGAAAGAGGGGACCCCGAGACATTTCAGCTCGGGTGGTAACCCGAACGTGATCATCACATGTCTCGTCACTTGTGTCCCGTGCGCAAAGAAAGAAAGAAGTATTTGAGTTATGGAGCAAAAATTGAAAATCCAGAGCTCAATTACAAATTTTCACATCATACTTTCATGGTCTCGGTAGATGAGAATATGATATACTGCTGATCCATTTTATCTGCACCTGTACTTATTACTTAGAACTTCATATGCGCAAAATCATCGGGCCACGAGTCCACGATACTTTTGCTATACTATACTGTATTGAACTTCGGATGAATCCGACTCGATTCAGTTCTATACCTCAGATACTAATACACCGCCTTTCTTAGTACAAAACAATCGATGGATCGCAAAGTGATGTGGCATTTCAAGAATCCATAGATACCTTCCAAATTCGATCTTTTAGGGCTGCTCAGTGCTCAGTGCTCGGGCATTGAAGATCTCGATAATGACAGTGGAGACATACAAATACCGGTATCTTCCTTGCCAGCGCAACTGGGCTCAAGTCTCAAGCAAAATTTTTACAGTTTGGTTTCTCCGCCATTCTTGCGTCAAAAGTTTTACCTCCATTTCCATTCCCGCTGCAAAGATTTGTTTCGATTCTGTTCACAAAATGATCCGACCTTTCAATCATACTATGCTATTTATTGGATCGATAGATGATCCGTGAAGATCGTAGCTATGATCTAGATATGTCATCACATGACATATGGACTATTAAAATTTTCTGGATCTTCTAAGTTCTAACCGGAAGTTCAAACTCCAGCTCCAGCTCAATCTAGCCCATTCCAAGCGGAAGTGGATCCATAATTATTACTTGGTCCGCTCCACCCCTCGCGCCGTCTTCCAGATTTTAGTTTGCCTCTTTCTTCTTTCTTCACTGATCGCCCGTGGGTGATTTTAATGGATGACAATCGATAGTTGATAACACCCAACCATTCGGGACCGAGAAGAATATCTACATATCATAGTCTAGAGGCAAATCAATGATGAATGGCTTGGATTTATGGATTATGGGTTCTTCGGGCAATTATATTCAACATGTCTATCTGTGAGTTCGGATGTTTATATTCTTGTGACAAAAAGACTTATAATATTTGAATAATGAAACATTCTGTAGCAGATTTAAAGGCCTAGTCTCATCCCGAAGTCGGCAAGCTATGTTAGATGAACGTGTGTACCTTTTAACATTCCCATAGTCACAAACACTAAAGATCTCTAATTTATCGACCTCCCATCCAAGCTCTACGGCATTTACCCACCAGCCAACCGAATAAATGAATTTTCCCAAAGTTACCTAAGCAATTCTTTCGATCCCCACCAGATTTTCCACCCCACCGAAAAAAGTTCCTCTCACAAACAAATCCCCCTCAATACCACCACCACCACCAAAAAGTTGTAAGGCACAAGATGAAAAAGGTGCAAAAAACAGAGTTCAAAAGCAAATTCATGGCGGTGCTGGGAATCGAACCCAGATTGAAGCGGAATTGTTGAGCTGGTAAAGGCTCATCTTCGTGAAGACCCTGGAGAGGAGAAACCACAACACCACGTGCTACCATTACACCACACCACCTTTTTATTGGATGTTTTTGATGAGACAGGGCGATGGAATTCAACTTATATTGAAGTAGTAAAAGGGGCTCGTTTGGGCAGGATGGCAGTTAGAGGGGACTTGACTTTGTAGAGAGGCATACAAGTGTGGATGAGACGATTAGTTTATGTATTGGATCGTCCTCTTCGGTGCTTTATAATTACTTCAAGTGTGCCTGTGTCCTCCTCCTCCTCATCTTCATCAAATATAGTCTTCCTATCTATCATAGCCATCCTCTTCGGGACTGTAGATTGAATTCTTGCAAATTGACCATTCCTTCTCATTGATATATATACTTTCGCAGTCTCCATTCATTCTGAGCCATTTACTCCTCTACTATATTCAAGTTCTTTATATCTAGCCTC